CTAAAAAAGCAAAGGGAAAAAGATCAATGAAACTAAGCTAGTTTTGGGGTGCCAGGGTGGCTCAGACAGTTAACCTCTGCCTTTGGCTCAGGTCATGATCCCCGTGTCCTGGGATCCAGCCCTGCATTAGGCTCCCTGCTCAACAGGGAGTCTGCTTCTTTCTCTGTCCTTCACCCCATGAATACATGCACTCTCTATCGCTCAAATAAATAAAATCTTTAAAAAAAGCTGTTTTTGAAAAGATATATAAAATTTACAAATCCTTAGACACACCAAGAAAAAAGTGGTGCCACAAAAATACAAATGATCATAACAGAATACTATGAAACTTATACTCCAACAAATTGAACAACTCAGAAGAAATGGATAAATTCCTAGAAACCTAAAGCCTACAAGATTGAAGAAACAGAAAAGCTACACAGACCAATTTACTAGTAAGGAGACTGGAGCAGTAATCAAAAAACCTCCCAACCAACAAAAGTCCAGGACCAGAGAGCTTCACTGGTGAATTCTACCAAATAATGCCAATCCTTCTAAAACTCTTTCAAAAATCAAAAGAGAAAGAATACTTCCACATTCATTTTTTGAGGCCAGCATTACCCTGATAGCAAGCCAAAGGACTATACTACAAGAGAAAATTACAAGTCAATATACTTGATGAACATAGATGCAAAAATCCTCAATAAAATATAGGCAAACAAAATTCAAGAACACATTAAAAGCGCTATACACAATGGTCAGGCGGGATTTATTCCAGGGACGCAAAGGTGATACAGCACCCACAAATCAATGTGATATAGCACATTAACAAAATAAATGATGAAAATCATACAATCATCCCAGTAGATGAAAAAGAGCATTTGATAAAATTCAACATCCATTTTTTTTAAAGTTTTTTTTAGAGATTTTATTTTTTTATTTGACAGAGAGATCACAAGTAGACAGAGAGGCAGGCAGAGAGAGAGATGGGAAGCAGGCTCCTGCTGAGCAGAGAGCCCAAGGGCTCCATCCCAGGACCCAGAGATCATGACCTGAGCTGAGGGCAGAGGCTTAAGCCACTGAGCCACCCACGCACCTCTCTCTTCACCTTTCTTAAAGGCTATCCCAAGTTCCCATCATACCCAAGACAATCAGTGAAGAAACTAGCCCAAGCTGATGCTAACTGTACTTTTAGGAAGAAACGGTAGGCTGGACCATACTCAGCCTGGTGAGTCTGCATGGGCACATGGCGGGGATCCTGAGAGCAAAAGGAAATTGTGGAAGGTTGCCAACGGAAAATAAAATGGTTGGGTTTATTTTTTTAAGTATTCTCTTGGGCTGGAATGGAGATTAGCTTGGGGAGCTGTGGAGACCTGGGAGACCTGCCCAGGAGTTGTCAGGAGAGAGGACACTAGTCCATTGTCCTAGAAGGACAGCGTAGGTGTTGAATAGGGAAGTTTGAGGGAGGACAGGCAGACAGCGCCTATTTAACAGCCCGGAGCAAGAAACAAGTCATTTGCTGAGAAGTGGGGCAGTGAGAAGGGTCTGCAGATTTGGAGACATGCTGAATCCTGAATTCCTGAGACTTTCAGGAAATGAAGAGGGAGGGAGTGAATGTGCAAATGGGGCAGGTCCGCGGGAAAGCCTCAGCAGTTTGGTCCAAGGCTTGAAGATTTGAATCGTGCAGAATCATGAAACAAGAGATTAACAGTGATTATTAATACCATTTCTAACCTAACACAGAAGGCTTACTGGATGCCAACCATATACTAGGCATTCTGTATACTTGATCTAGTAACAACCTTTCCAGATTATCATTTTAAGGTGGAAAAATCTGTGGCTCAGGGATGTGAAGGAACCGGGTCAGGGTCACTGAAGCAGAACGGAAGAGTCTGGTATCCTCTGCATGTATCCTATGGTTTTAGAGCCCCAGCTGCAGAGTTTTCATCATTCACCTCCTTACAGGAAAGCATCTAGCAGAACTTTAGAATGACTTTTCCTTTTTTTTTTTTTTTTTTTTTTTTCTTTTTTAAGGGAGAGAGTATAGATTCGGTGCTTATAAACGAGCAGTTCACAAACATGAAGCCTGGAAATCACTGAAATGAACGAGCAAACCTAAGCGCTTAAACTTTACAACAAAAGGAAAGTTACGTTTACAATTGCTTAAACTGAAGTTTCATCGTAATCACTCCCACTCCCACTCTTTCTTTGCAGTTTCGAGCCAGTTTTAAACAGGACTGAGATTTTTGGATTGCTCGACCACTCGCTAATTACCAAAACTCTGGGCCTCCCCTCCCCCACCCTGCCGCCGTTCCCGGCTTGAGGACAGGTAAAGGAGCCTCAAAGGTGCTTACAGTGATGTTTGCCTATTCTCTCTCTGGAGACTCTTTGGAGGAACTTATCGCTAAGTGCACAAGAGTACGCTATAGACACTTGGGGGTTTGCTCCGAGATAGTCCCCTGAGGGCAGCGCTCCAGCGGCGAGGGCCGGCCCCGGAGCGTCCTCCCACACCTGGAGGTAATGGGTGGAGCCACGAGGCAGGACCAGGTGAGCGAGAGGCGGAAATGCCCGGAGACGACATGGCGGCGCCGGCGTCGCGCGCCCTGAGTTCAAACAGGCTGTCTGCTACGGTGGCCCATGCGGGCCATCACAGTGTTAAGACTGCGACTCGCATCTGGAGATTGGAGAGAAGTAGGAGTTAGCCCAGACTGGGACAACCCTGAGTGGGCGCCGAGACCGACAGTCGAGGACCACGAGAAGGGGGCGGCCCCAGCTGGCCAGAGTCGGATGAGGAGACAGAAGAGCAATGCCATTCATTTTCATTTCATTTCATTCATTCACTTTGTTCTTGGAAGTGACCCCTTTAAGTGACACTGCAAGGAAAGTTCTGCTTCCTTGAGACTGTGAGCCAAACAGTGCATGAAGGGCAGTCCAGGTGACGGTTTCTTAGTGCCACCTGACTGGAGCCAGATGCAGCCAACTTGCGGCAAGGCAGCTGGGCGAATAAATACCCCGAGCTTACTGTCCTCCCTCTTGCTCTCCTGCCTGGGCTCCCCTCTAGCTGTATCTGACCAGAAGACAGCACGTTGATGCAGTCCCCGTCAGTCAGCCTCTGGGGGCCCGGGGCAGGGTGAAGAGAACTTCATCCTGCTGGTGGCAGGCAGCCCCTGGGAAGGTTTCCGCTGAGCCTCACCTCCTGGTCTTCACCCCTGTGTAGTCATCTCCCGTGTTGTACGAGGGTTGGTCCATGTGACCAAAACAGTAAGTAGAAATGATGAAATGTCACCTCACTAATCAGGTGACAAGAGGCACCGCAGTTTGGGAAGGCAGCTTTCTAAGATGGCCACATTGACCTTACCTCCTAATAGGCATGCACTAGTGTAAAACCCTTTCTTGGAGTGTAGGCTGGACCAGGTGACAGGATTCCAATAAAGCAGCATATGATGAAGGTTAGGGATGTCACTTCTAAGGATAGGTTACAAATGACTGTGGCTTCCGTCTTGTTTGCCTGCTCTGATGAAGCCCGCTGCCTGATGGCGAGGCCCCCGTGGCAAAGAATTGAGCCCAGCACTCAGCTGAGTGAGCGTGATAGAGGATGCATCCCAGGTGAGACTTCAGAGTCTTAAAATATGATGCCTGCACCTGGATTGTCGCCTTTTGAGAGACCCAAATTCCTGGTCCACAGACAACGTGAGAAGCCAAATGTTGTTGAAGTTTGGGGGTAATTTATTATACAGCAATAGGTAACTAATACAGCTTTCTCTCTCTCTCATCACTTGCTTTTGGAAATGTCAGCTGTCCTGTCATTAGAAGCGCTATGGGGAGCCCATCCCGCAAAGAACCTAGGTCTTCTGCCAGCAGCTCCATGAGTGAGCCCGGTAGCGGATCTTCACCTAGCCAAGCTTCAGAAGACTGCGACCCCGGCCAGCTTGATTCAGGAGACCTGGAGACCCAATCCCCAATGAAGCCACCCTGGGGTTTCCTCACTTTCAGAAACTGTGAAGTAATGAATGTTCATTGTCTTAAGCTCCAAAGCTCTAATTTGCTTTGGGGTTTGCTTTGCAGCAACAGATAATGATTATATGTGTGGGCAAACAAAAAAAGTTAGCGAAGAGGGAAAGGGGGAAGTCCATGAAACTGGATGACATACTCTTGAAGAAAAGTATTTGGTTCATATTCTCCAGAGTCTGAACTTATGTTTGGAGTTATTTTTAGTTTCTCTCGTAATGCAAGTAAGTTTTCCTTCCACTCAAAGACAAACTCTGGTATTTCACTCAACGAAGTATGATAATTTTAGCTACCCTTTATTTAGCATCTATTATGGCTGGGCAGTGAATTTACATCATCCTTCACAAACAGGGAAATTAGCTTAGGTTGGGAACTTCTTCCCAAAGCACAGTTAGTAAAAGGCTGAACCAGAATTCCAAGCGGGTTTGAAGCCCTAGTTTTTCCCACAACATTATTACAGCCTCCCTAATAGCGATCCTTATAACTTTAAATAAAAGTATCAATAATCCGAATCATAAATACAGAAGTACTACATGGTCATCCACGTAGGTTGCAAAATTAAGCGGCCTTGATATTTCACAACAGGCAATGCACGTGAGATAGGACTACTCTCACGCCCCTGACACCCGCTCCCACCCCTCCTCGTGGCCGGTGCTCAATACACTTGATGATGACATTAATTCCACAAGCATTCCAACATTTGGGGCTAAGGAACGAAATTGGTCTAGTTTCCAAAAGGGCCCCACCGCACCTACAGCTGGGGGAGAAACTGGACAATTCAGTAGAAAAAGTAGGAAGCTGAGGACCGAAGACAGAGAAGACTGCTGCCCCTAGTGGGTCTAGGCGGCCACGGAGTCCGGGGTAGCCGGGACCGGGAAAGCCCGAGCGTGCCGGGGCGGACCGGCGGACCCGGAAGTTGCCTCTGCCCGGCTCAAAGATGGCTGCAGCAGCGACACCCGCCCACTTATCCTATCCTCTTGTAACCAATGGCGCCGCGACGCTCGGGTGACTCACTGGGGCGACCTATGCATGACGTTCTGATGCAACGTCCTAGTCGAGGAAGCCGCCGGTGCACGTTGGGGTGACAAGGCGGCAGAGTGTTGGAGACGATGTCCTTGGAGGTGACCGGGCCGACCGCCGGGATGGTACTAGGTGAGTGAAGCCCGGGGATTCCAGGCTGTGTAAGTGGAGCGGGAACACTACATGGGCCAGGAACCGAGCTGCGGCAGATGGCCTGGCTTCGAGTGGGCGGTCCACTGATATTTGTACCAGAAAGATTGGAGCCGGGGGTGGGGGGGGCTTGGGTGGGGGAGGGAGGAGCCTGGACCCCTGCTGGACCGCGACTCGCTGGGCGGGGCTGGTCCCCCCTCGAGGCCTCCTCGGGCACCCCTACCCTGTCCGGCGACTGGGATGGCGGCCACCTCTCGCCCTGCCCCCCTGCAAACAGTCTGGTGATTCAGCTGAGACTTAGCCACCGCGAGGCACTATAAGACGTCAGAGTACCCCCAAATATGTAAGCTCTTCGAAGTGATCGTCCGGAAGGGACTCTTGAATTCTAATTCGCTTTCACACAGCCTCATTTATATTGAGATTTCCGGGGAGACCGTGTGGTGCAATAGAAAAAGGAAAAAAGGGACCAGGATTGATGTTGGTGTTCACACTTAATTAGTTGTAAGGTCTTGTGCAATTCGATAAGCTCAGAGCTTTATTTCCTTTAAAGATCAGAAGGAAGCGGTATTTATTTGACATCGGTGCACTCTCACTGGGATAGCTGATTGGTACGTGTTACTTCATTGCGGCCTCAGTACAGCCCTTCAAGATGGGTATTGTTTTTTTCCCCCTCATTTCCTAGACAAATAAGCTCAGATGGGTTAAGTGAAATTCCCCGGAGTCATCCTGGCTTTTAAGGTACAACCTCCAACATTCCAGTCTGGTCTGGCCAACTTCAAAGCCTTCATCAAGGAGCTAGAAGCAGTATCACAAATTAAAATCATCAAAGTTCATTTTGAAAAGCCAGATTTGTAGCTAGTATGTTTTTATGGGATAGAGGTCACTGAGTTAGAGGCGTGGGAAAGAATCGTGATATAATTTCTTTTGGGCCGTGGTAATTTTTACTAATCAGATGCTTGTTCTCTTCACAAAGATAAAGAATGCATGAAGTCGTTACAGTATGAAATGACTAATAATTACTGGCCCAAATGAATAACTCATTCTCCTTTTGTAAAACAGCAGAGCTCTATGTCTCCGATCGAGAGGGAAATGATGCTACAGGTGATGGAACCAAGGAGAAACCTTTTAAAACGGGCTTAAAGGTAGTATTTCTTCTCATTCAGAAAATGACTACATTTATTAATTACTAGTGTCTGTTAATATCTGACTTGTCAATAACTATCTCAGGCACTAGATTTTGGAGAGAATTTTCAGAAAAGAGAAAATGAGGAATGTATACACCTGTGTAGCTGTAAGAGTATTGGGTGAATATATTTAAACTTATATTTGAACATTTTTAACATGTGTCTTCTTTTTTTCCGAATCCTGCTGAGAGAATATGCTAAATTCACTTGAGGATTTTAGATCCTGAGAAGTAATAGTATATTAGTAAATTAGCATTCCAGACTCATGAGTTACTGAGTGTCTGCTCCGAGAGATGAGTCCGTTCTTAGTGTACGGATATCAGTTAAGTCTTTGAGTCTCAAGGCTCAGGATCACATCTGGATTCTAGTGGTAAATTCACCAAGAGGCCTCTTAGGAGTCCATTTAGAAGAAATCTGGGTAGGAGCACCTGGCTTGGTTAAGTGTGTGCCTTCAGCTCAGGTCATGATCCTAGGGTCCTGGAATCCAGTCCCGTCCCCTCCCCTGTGTTTCAGGCTCTCAACCCAGTGGGGAGCCTGCTTCTCCCTCTCCCTCTGCCTGCCACTTCCCTGCTTGTGCTTGCTCTCGCTCTCTCTCTCAATCTTCATCAAATAAGTAAATAAAATCTTTTTAAAAAAAGAAGAAATCTGGGCATGAACTTAGTGAGACTTGGGGAAGCTTAGTCTTGCTTTTCAATTTTTGGAAGGAAATCTTTCTCTCATTTCCAGTTGTTGAGGTGATTCCTATGGCTCCCCAAACATTTAGGAGAATGTTTGCAAAATGTCACTATTAGCAAAGTGTGCTGTTCTCATTTGGGGAATTACAGTTTGGCTTCTAACTCTTAATTTCGGTGATTAAAAAAAGGAGGGATCAATAGAGAGTTTCAGGTAGCAAATTCTTAGTGATTTACAAACATCTCTACCAAGTGTAATTTTTTTTTAAAAATTTTATTTATTTATTTGAGAGAGAATGAGTGAGAGAGAGTGGGGGGGGGTCATAGGGAGAAGCATGTGGGGACTCAGTGCTGGGATTCCAGGATCATGACCTGAGCCCAAGGTGGTCAGTCGTTTAACCAACTGAGCCACCCAGGTACCTCTCAAGTGTAGTTATTAAAAGAAGAACTCTCTTATATGTTTGTTTTTTTTTTAAGATTTTATTTATTTATTTGACAGACAGAGATCACAAGTAGGCAGAGAGGTAGAGGGGAAGCAGGCTCCCTGCTGAGCAGAGAGCCCGATGTGGGGCTCTATCCTAGGACCCTGGGATTGTGACCTGAGCGGAAGGCAGAGGCTTAACCCACTGAGCCACCCAGGCACCCCTCTCTTAGATGTTTTTTTTTTTTTTTTTTTTTTCTCTTAGATGTTTTTAAGAGATCCATGTTCCCTCCTCTGCGGTGATCATTGAGTTGGGGTTAGTGTTAAAAGAAGATGAAAAGTATTTTCCAGGTCTGGAACTAGACCTTTTGTTTCCACAAGCTTCAGATCATAGAACCAGAGAGATTAATTTATTACATTTCTTGGCTGACTTAATCAAGTAATACAAACCATAAAATACAGATGGCACAGCAACCCCTGACATGTCCTCGTATTTATGAAAAGAGGTATTCTACATATAGGAATTTTTCAAATTAAGTGAAGCTTAGCCTTTTATGTTCTTAACCGTTACTTTTGTTTCTGAAAGAGTTTCAGAAACAACTTCCCTGATTTCTTAATGAAGAAGAGCCATTTAGGTGTGATCTTCAGTTGACTTTTACTGTCAGTTGTCTCTCCTCTGGTGTTAGTATACTTCCTGCCGGTCCCGCAGCCACTGGAAATCTGCTGCTTCTAGTCTACTTGTACCGGGAAACTGTATACACTCAACTGTTGAACAACGCGGGGCTAGGAGCACTGACCCCTGCAGAGTCAAAAGTCTGCATACAGCTTTCAACTTCCTTAAAACTGGAATACCGATAGCCTACAGTTGACCAGAAGCCCGTAACATACCAGTAACATAAACCAATAGCAGAAACAGTCAACACATATTCTAAATGTTATGTGTATTCTGTACTGTATTTTTACAAAGAAGTAAACTAGAAAACAGCACATGCTAAAAATCATAAGGAGAATAAAATGTATTTACAGCACTGTAATGTATCTGTGGGAAAAAATCTGCATGTAAGTGGATCCACGCAATTTAAACCCGTGTTCAGGGATCAACTGTATTGTGTAGACACATGTGCTAGAACTGTTTGTGAAAGGACTGGATGGCTTCTGCTTTAAGCAAAGTTTTCTTAGTATGTCCGACCAGTCATTCTTTCAGTGTTCACTTTTGGCCATTGGGGTTTATTTTTTTTTCTTGGCTCTTTTTTTTTTTTTTTAAGGTTTTGTTTATTTATTTGTCAGAGAGAGAGAGAGAGAGAAACAGCACAAGCAGGGGGAGTGGCAGGAAGATAGAGAAGCAGGCTCCCTGCTGAGCAAGGACCCAGGAATCATGACCTGAGCTGAAGGCAGACACTTAACCGACTGAGCCACCCAAACATCCCTCTTCTTGGCTCTTGATGGTGTTCTAGATGGTTGAAGTTACCTCATAATTAGGATATTATTTTGATGTCAGATATGGTACAATATTAAATTTTCCTTTTCTCCCTTCCCGCTCAAGGCTCTGATGACAGTAGGAAAAGAACCGTTTCCAACCATTTACATAGATTCACAAAAAGAAAATGAGGTAGGATGAGCCAAAAACTCTACCGAATTATATTTTGTAAATAAATTTTCATCATAACATAGAGATTCTGGAAAAAATAAATATCTCTTTTTCTCTCCAGAGGTGGGATGTTATTTCTAAATCACAGATGAAAAACATTAAAAAAATGTGGCATAGGGAACAAATGAAGAGTGAATCCCGGGAAAAGAAAGAGGTGAGCAATGATTTTGCCGCTGTGAATGTTTTTTAAGTTAGAATACTGGAAACCTTGTGTTAACAGACTGCTTTATTGTTAAAAATTAGGCAGAAGACAATTTGCGGAGAGAAAAGAACCTGGAAGAAGCAAAGAAGATTACCATTAAAAATGATCCAGATCTTCCCGAGCCAAAATGTGTGAGTGTGACACATATCGTCCCAAATATCGCCGTCACACCCTGTCAGACTGTCGGTTCTGTGTCCGAGGGCCGGGCCGGCTGGTGTGCTCCTTGACACTGTTCGCCCTTCCTTTCCTTTTAGGAGGGATAGAGAGAAAATAACATTTTAAAGTCATGAAGCTGGTCCTTTGGGGGTTCACTTTATCATAAAGTTTAGTAATTACGTGTTGAACGATTCCTGCCCCACCTAAAAGCCAGCTAAGTGTCGCCCTCCCTACGTGTCCCATTTCCTCACTGTAAAATGAGGAGGTCAAAATCCATGATTTTCATGGTTTTTTGAAATAGATAAAATGTTCTGTGATTCTGTGACTTGGATTCCTCTGCATTTTTTCTTAGAACAGATGTTGGGCTGCGAGTGGCCATGCTTAGATTTCAAATAGTTCTTACTGCTCGTGGGTGGTCGTCTTTTTCCTGTGTCCTTAGTGATGAAGTTGTCTTGGCCACTTTCACCCTCCCCTTCCTGTACTCCTCTGTCCTTCCTCCTCCAAACCAATAGCTAGCCTTGGCTAGCTTCTGCCTTGTGTGTCGGGAGGACCTGTGAGGGCAGGAGGGGTTCACGCAGACTCGTTGCTCTTACGAATTCATTTATTCACTGATTTTATGTAGCAGTATCTGAAATTCCAGATGGTTCTCAGTGTCAGTTTTGCACTAAGAGAAGGATGTGGATTTTTTTTTTTAACCACTCCAATATGATGAACGTTTATTGTAGAATGACTGTCATTTTGCATCATTTGTGAATTTGTAATACTTTACCGCCATCCATCTAGCATTAGTGGAGAAGCTGATATGTAATAAATAACATGATCGGTCGAACGTTACTGACTTCAATTTCGCAGGTGAAGATTCATGCCCTCGGAGGATACAAAGGCCAAAGAGTAAAGGTGTTTGGCTGGGTCCACAGGCTGCGTAGGCAAGGTAAATGGTGGAGCTTTTCTTTCGTCTCTCTTTAATTTTAAACATCCCTGGTCTAGACGAAGAGGAACATAAAAACATTTGCTTAGGTGGGGGATATTTCTAGTTTAGGGTGCTAGTTTATAAAAGAAGATAGTGAATTACATCCTAAATTTGTTATTACAAGTTTAAAAATTACTTAAGTGCTATTTAACTGGAAGCAATCACAGAGATCAGGAGTATCCAGTAAATATTTGTCTAGCTGAATTTAATTATTTAATGAAAGGGATGTGTTACAGGAAGGGCAGAGCCAACTCTGAAATTCATTCCCGGCAGTAGTGTTGGCTTTTATAATTAGTGTATTTGCATTCTACTTTTCTCAGTCCTGACTTTTTGCTTGCTCTATTATTTTATTACATGTATTTTATTATAAGTAGTTACACATCCTTCATAAAAAGAGATGGGGCATAAATGAAAAGGGATTCTGGGCAGCAACATATATATATATATACACATATATATATACACACACATATATATATACACACACATATATATAAACATATATATGTGTGTGTATATATATATATATATGTGTGTATATATATTTTTTTTAAGATTTTATTTATTTACTTAACAGAGAGAGCATGTGCACACAAGCAGCGGCAACAGCAGGCAGAGGCAGAGGGAGAAGTAGGCTCTCTGCCAAGCAAGGAGCCTGATGCGGGACTCGATTCCAGGACCCTGGGATCATGACCTGAGCTGAAGGCAGAGGCTTAACTGACTGAGCCGCCCAGGCGTCCCTGGGCAGCAGTATTTATCTGCCTCCCGTTGAGTGCACAGCCCTATGCTAGGCCTTGCAGGGGATTCAGTGGTGAGGGAGACACAATCCCTCGTGTCAAGTTTCTGACAGTCTTGCTTTCCCATGATCACGTGGATCATGAGGCTCACATAGGATGCGGAAATACGGGGAAGAAGGTGAAATGCCGCACAGATACTGAGTAGTGATGTTTCCAGCGGCCACTTGAGAGGAAGGGGGCCACGCGGGAGGTTTGAACTCGTAACAATTTCACCGTGGAGTTGCCTATTATAAGATTAAATTATGAGAAAGTACTTTTAAGTGCCTTGAGAGCGGTCAGGACTCATTTTTCTTTCTCATTTTAGGAAAGAATTTAATGTTTCTGGTGTTGCGGGACGGTACAGGCTATCTTCAGTGTGTCCTGTCAGATGATCTGGTAGATATTTTTTCTTATTTCTCACTGAAAATCTGGTGTTTTGTTTGTTTTTTTGTTTTTTTTCAGTAAGTTCCTTTATTGTTAGTTTTGGGAATTTTAGAATCTGTATATATTTTTTAAACTGTTAGAGAAAATTTCTGGCACACATTGAGCAACATGGGTTTGAACTACATGGGTCTGCTGGGGCCTGGATTTTTTTTTTTTTTTTTTACAATACTATGAGTGAATTTTCTCTTCTTTATGACTTTCTTTTCTCAAACTTATTATAAGAATACAGTATGATACACCTGACACATAAAATATATGTATGTTGACTTTATGTTGTCAGTAAGGCTTTTGGTCAACAGTAGGCCGTTAGTTAAGTTGTGGGAGAATCAAGTTGTATGTGGATTTTAGACTGCTCAGGGGGTCAGCACCCCTAATCCCCAAATTGTTCGAAGTCACCTGTATAAAGAAACCTCATGTGCTCATCACCTGGCTTTAGTAAGGTTTTAGTCATAGACTGGGTGGCATATAAACGAAGGAATTTGTCTCACAGTCCTGCAGGCTGGACGTCGAGCTCAGGGTGTCAGCATGGTCATGTTCCGGGGAGGGCCCTCTTCCAGGCCGCACACTGCCAGCTTCCTGGCGCATCCTAGCGTGGTGGAGAGCAGAAGGGGGAGCAAACCCTCATCTCACCCTATTCACCTGTCCAAGGGCCCACTTCCTCATACCGGCACACAGGGGCCTAGAATTTCAACATAGGAATTTTGGAGGGACAAAAACACTAAGTCCCTAACAAGTAATGACCAGTAAATGGCCAATTCTGGTTTACTGCTCACCCCCTGACCCCCCTAGACATCGTATCATTTTATGTAAATACACTTGCATACGCATCTCCAAGAAAAAGTATTTGTGCTATAACCACGCTAATATTAATTACACCCTCCCCAAACAGGCAACTCCTAAATATCAGTCAGATTCTCCCAGTTGATTCATAACGTCTTTCTACAGTTGTTTGGTTTGAATGAGAACCCAGACGAGATCTCTGTACTGCACTGAGCTGATGTGGCTCTGAAACTCTTTCAATCTGTAACCATTCATCCTTTCTATTGTCTTTTCTACCATATTTGTTTAAAACAACCTGTTTCGTTGTCCAGTGGCTCTCCTCCACTCCAAGTCCGGTTGGTTGCCTCCTCAGGGGTCATTTAACGTGTTCCTCTCCTCTGTAGTTCTCACAAGCTTATCAAATTCAGGCTTGGGGGATTTTTCATTTTGTTTGACTTAGTTTGATATCTTTTTTGGCACAACTACTTCATGGGCAAGGCTGTGCGCTTCTCATTGTCTCACATCAAAGACACATAATGTCCTCTTGCCTTTTTTATGATTTTATGATAGTGGGTTGAAGTGTTGTTAGCCTGATCCCTCCATTGTAAAGCTACCTGTCACTTCTGTCCTAGCGGTTTTAGCAAGTGTTGATCATAGCCCAGGTGGATGGTTTATTATCCCAGCAGTCTGAATTTTAAAGAAAATAAAATAAGCTGTTCAGATGTTTCTAAGGGATGTGGGCTACTGTCATTTATGCATATGTATATATGTAAAATATCTGTTTACATACATATTTCTCTGTAGATGAACCCTCCCATAAAAATAGCTATTCTTGGTTAATACTAAAAAAAATCGATGGCCATCTTCTTTTACTAGTTTTAGACAGGTAACTTTTATTTGAGTAATCTGCTTAGCTTTCTATACATCAGAACATACATCTTAATGTAAATGTGAGTAGTAAATACGGACTTTATCTTTTTTGTAGTGTCAGTGTTACAATGGGGTCGTCTTGGCCACGGAGAGTAGTGTTGCAGTGTATGGAATGCTAAATCTGACCCCAAAGGGCAAGCAGGTGAGTAGGTTGATTTTCTCAGTGGGTGAGTAAGTGTGTCTTTGTTCTCCAGTGTTCTTATTTGTACTTTAGGGATTTGGTGAATAAATACACAGATGCGATGTACTTGATAAATTTAGGATGCCTTTTCCTCTTCCAGGGAAATATGTCTACCGTACAACTCATATGATATCACACACTCAGGGATTTCCAACTTTATAAAATTCATAAATAACCCTCATAGGCCATAGTACAGTCACTTTGCTGTGGATGCATGAATAACTTTTCAGCCAGTTGGAAATAAAAATAATCTACCCATGGGGTGCCTTGGTGGCTCAGTGGGTTTAAAGCCTCTGCCTTTGGCTCAGGTCATGGTCCCAGGGTCCTGGGATTGAGCCCCACATCGGGCTTTCTGCTCAGTGGGGAGCCTGCTTCCTCCTCTCTCTGCCTGCCTCTCTGCCTACTTGTGATCTCTGTCTGTGAAATAAATAAATAAAATCTTAAAAAAAAAAAACTACCTAAAAACTTCAGGAAAGAGCAGTAATCTAAATCTGAAACTTCCTGAATAGAATTTGAAAGTTTCTTTTAGAGAAAGTTAAATATAATTCTGATATTCAGAGAGTTGTTTCTTCTCCAGCCAACAGGCACGTAATGGTTACTTGTTGGTAATTACTTTTCAAATAATTACTGTGGTTATATTTGTTGGCTGGGAAAGAAAACAAACAAATGTGACCTATTAACCACCAGAGGGAGCCCCGAGAGTACTCCTTAATAGACTAGAAATATCGATATCGGAGGGTTTCCCAGAGTTCATGTAAAAGAACCTACATTAAGCATGAATATCTGATTCAAGTTCACTGAAGTAATGTGATTTGCAGAACGGAGTTGTTATGACATGTTACTTGCTCTCCAGGGTTTGGCACGAAGATAATTGTATATTCTGTGATGTGTGGCTTCTAAAATAAATTGCTTTTAATGGAATTACTAGGGAGAATTTAAATTTCTATCATATATCCATTCCGAAGAGAAACAGCTTTCAGTAAAACCTTTGCTTTTAAGGAGTGTTTCAGTGTCGATAAAATGATATTTTAACTTAACGGGGAAGGGTTAGGAAGATACATCAAATGATAACAGCAGTTAGTAGTTACTCCAAGTTGCAAGATTATCATTTATTTTCTAGTTTTTGCTTTTCTGTTGTTTAAAAATCATGTGTAGATTTACTCTGAAAGGAATATTAAATATCAAAATAAAATCAGATTATTAGGTCTTTGTCTAGAAGGGTAGGCTGATAATGATGATGTCTAAAAATATCTTTCCAACAATTTTGATGTAAATTAAAATCTCCAATAATGTTAGTTTTTTGTTTCCTTCTCTCTCCTTTTTCCCTGCCCCCCCGCCTTTCTAAAATGGAGGCCCCTGGTGGCCATGAGCTGAGCTGTGACTTCTGGGAACTGATTGGGCTGGCCCCTGCTGGAGGTGCTGATAACTTGATTAACGAGGAGTCTGACGTGGACGTCCAGCTCAACAACCGACACATGATGATCCGGGGAGAAAACATGTCCAAGATCCTGAAAGCACGTTCCGTGGTCACCCGGTGCTTTCGAGATCACTTCTTTGATAGGGGGTACTATGAAGTAAGTGTGTGTTCATCATCTTTTGCAAACAAACAATAGCTTTGGCCGTTTTAAAACTTGAATAGTGGCACTCACAGTCGGCCTCAACTTACTCCCCCTTTTCATTTGAACAGGTTACTCCTCCAACGTTAGTGCAAACCCAAGTGGAAGGAGGTGCCACGCTCTTCAAGCTTGACTATTTTGGGGAAGAGGCATTTTTGACTCAGTCCTCTCAGTTGTACCTGGAGACCTGCATTCCAGCTCTGGGAGATGTGTTTTGTATTGCACAGTCATACAGGGCAGAACAGTCTAGAACACGAAGGCACCTGGCTGAGTACGGAATTGTCTTTTTATTTTTGTTTAAAAAATCACTTTTAAGAATATACGTTTAGTGTAGCAGTCTTTATGTAGGCAGTGTGAAAAAATTGGATATTTTAAGAGTGTGTGGAGGGCAATTCCACAAATTAATGGAAGCCATGTATGAAGTTTTGCCTCCTGGGCCATAGCTAGCGATGTTCTCTTCTTTCACTTTTCTTTGATCCTTTATATGTTAAGAATAAACAAGAAATCACTCTTTTTAGGTAGGGACTCTAAAACTAACCCGTGGACCACTGGGGTGGCTCGGTCGTTGGGTGTCTGCCTTTGGCTCAGCTCATGATCCCAGAGTCCAGGGATCAAGCCCCGCATCGGGCTCAATGGGAGGCCTGCTTCTCCCTCTCCCACTCCCTCTACTTGTATTCCCTCTCTTGCTGTCTCTGTCTGACAAATAAATAAAATCTTTAAAAAAAAAAAAAACCAAACAAACTGAAATAAAGCTAATGTGCTGAGTGGGGAGTTGGTTAGCGGTGCTGGAATTTTACATTTCTGTGCAGTTTTGCGATGTTAAAATCCTTACTTAAGAGAAACTTCGCAGAAAAGTAGAGCGGTTGCCAGCTCGTGTCTTGTTCTTTAGATATACTCATGTGGAAGCAGAGTGTCCTTTCCTGACCTTTGATGAGCTCCTGAACCGATTGGAGGACTTGGTTTGTGACGTGGTAGATAGAGTCTTGAAATCACCTGCAGCGAGCATAGTGCGTGACCTCAACCCGGTAGGTGCGCTGTTTATGGAAATGCAAAGTCATGATTTGGTGGGGGAAGGGGGGAGATAATGTCTTCACCTTCGGTTTTTATAGATTTAATGGCGTGGCAGGCTTTGCTCTAAGTGCATATGTATACACATATTATATTCTTATTTTTTGTTTTTTGAGGTAAAATTGATAGCATTATGTTAGTTTCAGGTGTACAGCATCATGATTTGATAGTTGTATGTATTATGAAATGATTATCATAAGTCTAGATAATATCTCTTACCAGACCTTGGTACAGTTTGTTCTTTTTTATGCTGCAGCCTTCTAAGATCTACTCTCTTAGCAAATTTTTCACATTTATAATTGTTAGCTGTAGTCCCCTTGCTGCACATTATATCCTCAGAACTGACTGTTTTATAACTCAAAGTTTGTACCTTTTGACCACCTTCACTCATTTCTGTACCTGTATTTTTAAGAGTAAAATTTGATACTAGTCATTGCCAATAATTTTATAATATTTTACATAGGAGGAGGGCACGTGTATTTTCCATTTTTAGGAATGTCCTCATTGTTTTCTTGTCTGAAATAACATTTTACACTAACAACGGATAGTTTTCCCTAACATGGAAATTTTAGTGTTCCGGTTTCTTTATATACACTCTGTTTTTTCTTGCTATTGTAGAACTTCAAGCCTCCCAAACGGCCTTTTAAGCGGATGAACTATTCAGATGCTATTGTGTGGCTCAAGGAACACAACATAAAGAAAGAAGATGGAACTTTCTATGAATTTGGAGAGGTATGCGTCGCCTAAGTGTATTGCTGCTGAGGTGAACGAACCAGGAATGCAGGAGGCAGCTGCTTGTCAAAAAAATGGCGACAACAGACCCTCCTTGGGGCTGTCTGAGGATTCACTGAGTCCACAGATGTAGAGTCGGCCTTAGTCCACTTCTGTGGCGGTCAGTAAATATTAGCGCCATGGTAGGCTTCTCAGCTCATCTTTTGCCTTTTTCCTCTTGTTCCGTGGTCAGTCCATGCTCCTGACTTTACTCTAGGGGTAGCTCTTTAGGCTGGCACGATGCCTCAGACATTTCATGCAAAATTTCAGGCTTTAAAATTTTATGCAAAATGTTGATACGCGTATATTCGTTTTATTTGTTTGGAGAAAGTATCCTCCTCTTTCAAAAAGGAAGCCTCCTGCAAAGGAGTGTATTGAAGCCCCTCCATGTGGAGAAGAGTCAAAGAAGAAAACAGCTGTTGGTTAAAATGCAAAACCCAAGAGAGAAGGCCTGACTGGGGAAGGTGCTCTGGCATCCCAGATACACTGAGAGGACATACTAGAGGTGTAGACTGTGAAGGCCTCTTCCCAGTGCATTTAACCATTTCTTACATAGTATTTACAAGTCTACTTTATAGATAAAAGAGGAGCAGCTACTGCTTAGAGCTTTAATTTTTAGAAGGAATTTACAGAGAGAACAAACAGGACTCTTGACCTATATAAATTATTCTTACCATTTCATGATTTGTTGGTGGTATAGAGTGACAAAGTTTTGTATTAAACATTTAAGAAGTGTTATTACCTAAAACTTAGCAAAGTAGTGTGATGGAGTGAAAAGAGCCCCATCTTTGGAGGAAATTCCCCCCCCCCAGGTGGCTTAGCTCCTACCTGTGTCCTTACTGCTGTGTGACAGAAGGCCAGTGACCCCACCCTCTTTCCTCAGAGATCACAGCTGCTTTGCAAAGTTGTGAGGACTCAAAGCTAAAATCCTGGCAGGGTCCACGGTTCAGGAAGCCCTTGATGCTTGTCAGCATTTATCGTATTCTGATGTCATCCCATGCACATGAGGTCACCAGAGTAGATGAATGTTCCATGTCCTACATCCAGTAGATGAATGGAAGATGAATCTTCCAACTTTTTGGAGCCTGCAGTAAGACTGTTTACCCCCAGTTAAATCTTACTGTGGTATATAGAGCAGATAAAAGCTGAGAGACCAGAACCATCCCACTCATCTCCAATGGGTCTCCGGAGCCTGGGGCCTCATGACAGCTGTGCCAGGAGATTGCGGAGCCCCATTTTGGTTCTTTTTTTTTTTTTTTTTTTTTTTTAAAGATTTTATTTATTTATTTTACAGAGAGAGATCACAAGCAGGCAGAGAGGCAGGCAGAGAGAGAGGAGGAAGCAGGCTCCCCGCTGAGCAGAGAGCCCGATGCGGGGCTCGATCCCAGGACCCTGAGATCATGACCTGAGCCGAAGGCAGCGGCTTAACCCACTGAGCCACCCAGGCGCCCCCCCATTTTGGTTCTTAAAGCAAACAAATCAATGAGTCTTGTCGAGTTCTCTCAATCGGTTTGTCCTGGGACGAGAGTTTTCAGTATTACCTTGAGTTTATATGTGGGTTACTGAAGGGTGTTTTGAGACAGGAGCAGATTAACTTGGTTCATCATTATTTGACATTTCTTGGCTAAGTGTTCCAGGTGTAGTTACACTTGGAAATTTCACACTGGTTATTTGTCTTAGGGCTCTTTCTTACCACCATTGAAGCCATATAGATGTACTGTAACAGGCAAGAAGTCCAGATAACAAGAAAGTTTAAGGATTGGTGTTATTAATAACACAGGATGTGCATAGACCAACGATGTTTTGGAGCATTCACTGATTGTCTTATACCTCACGGGACTAAGTGGACCACATTTGCTTCAGAGCTGGTAAAACTGGCCACTGAAAAAAATAACTACGCAGTATCTAGTCTCAGTGATAATGGCTTCAAGTGGTTTTTTTGTTGTTTTTTTTTTTAATTTTTTATTTTTGGGGGTTTGTTGGGTGGGTTTTCATTCCTCAAGCAGATGGCGCTTGAGATCTATTGTAATGGGAAGCAGGTCTTCTTGCAGTTGGTTTAATAACTGCGTGTGAGTTGTTAAAATATCTTTATTGTTTTTGGAAGAAAGTGTTGCTTCCACCGTGTGTATGGGTTGTGGATGGCTGTGTAGTCTCTGCTACGTTACATTAATAACATGAAGGGCTGCTATGGGTGAGAGCTGCTTCTGTCTTGTTGCATTTTGAGTTGTAAATGTTAATGAAGTCTTGTTTAACCTCAGGATATCCCAGAAGCTCCTGAGAGACTGATGACGGACACCATTAATGAGCCCATCTTGCTGTGTCGATTTCCTGTAGAGATCAAGTCCTTCTATATGCAGCGATGTCCTGAGGATTCCCGCCTTACAGAATCTGTCAGTCTGTGATTCAAATAGTATTAGTAATTTTGCTTTCTAAGGGGGTGGGGACTGCCACTGGAATAAGATAGAGCTCATGGCAAATATTTCATTATACATATAGCATGGCAGTATTTAAAGAAGTGGCTTTTGTCCTCTGATTGGGCTTAACATATCTTGTTAAATTATAGGCTTTGATTATTTGAGTATTACATGACCATAGTGCTCCTTTAGCTATGAGTTTAATTGTGATTTTCTTTGAAACTATAGCCTGGTAGTAACTGCATTTTATTTACTTGTTTTTAAAGGTTGACGTGTTGATGCCCAACGTCGGTGAGATTGTGGGAGGCTCAATGCGTATCTGGGATAGTGAGGAAATACTGGCAGGTTATAAAAGGGAAGGAATTGACCCCACTCCCTATTACTGGTACACAGATCAGGTAAACAGTTTTGTGCTTTGTTTTTAACACTCTTTTTTTTTTTTTTTTTTTTTTATTTGACAGACAGAGATCACAAGTAGGCAGAGAGGTGGGCAGAGAGAGAGAGGGAAGCAGGCTCCCTGCTGAGCAGAGAGCCCGATGCGGGACTCGATCCCAGGACCCTGAGATCATGACCTGAGCCGAAGGCAGAGGCTTAACCCACTGAGCCACCGAGGCGCCCTGTTTTTAACACTCTTTAAATGGTTTTCATTTTAATAGTTCTGTATAAATTGGAATTCTTAACAGGAGAGAATTCAGTGTGGTACTTTGATGTGGGAACGAGCTGTATTCAGTTTCATGGTTGTAATGTGGCATGTGACTAGTTTTGTCTTTGTCTAATACGTTGACTTAATTTGAAAAACAACCCAGCTGCTGGCCTTGCTCAACGCAGTCCTTCTTTTTTTTTTTTTTAAACAGAGAAAGTACGGCACGTGTCCTCATGGAGGATATGGCTTGGGCTTGGAGCGATTCTTGACCTGGATTCTGAATAGGTATCACATCCGAGATGTATGCTTGTACCCACGATTTGTCCAGCGTTGCAAGCCATAACTGGTTCTTCCAGAAGCATTAAGGAAAGAATACAGTTTATGAAAGGAACAGACTGCCTCTTTAAAAAAAACAAAAACAAAAAGCCAGAATCTTCCCTTTTTTATTCCATTGGTGTATGGCCATTTCTTTTTTCTCCCATGAAAAGCAATCCAAATCATGTGAATATCAAGTGATGTCAGTGTTAGCATTTTGAGGAACACCATCCATCCATCACAAAGTTTGGGGGAACTATGTGGCGTGTAACACTACGGTCAGAAGTCCAGTTCAGCATTTTATCCAGTTATAGGTTGTAGTTTTTGCATCGTCCGTATCACATATATCATAAAGCAGATTTTAATTATGATCTAAGACATTCCAGTAACTTAATCTTTCCGCCCTGTTAAGTGTAACTGGAATTCTTTAATTTATATCATTTTATTGTACAGGCAAGTTACAGCAAACATCTTGAGGGAAAATTGACAGTGTGGTGTAAAAAATCTGCTGGATTAGTGAAATTCATTGGTAGATACTGGAATCAAACAAAGACAGTTTTGCTTTGGTTATTAATCTTTTCTAATCCTATAGCTGCTTATAATTCTAAAGCATACAAAATTGATGTGGAGAGATTTAAAAAAAATGGGAATTTTACGTTAAACAGTTTGAAATAACAGCAAATTCTTTTTGTTGTTGTTGTTGTTCTTTGCATTAGTTTAAGCTAAAGAGGCAGAGTGATCTTCTCTCTTTCCTGGTAGTTTCTAAGTAATTAAGAATAAGTAAGTTCCAAAAGAATTTGCAGCTGGAATCTTAATGACAACTGTATGTGGCCATTTGACTCTTCCCACACTGTGACTTTAGATCTAATCTGCTACCTTATTAACTCCCAGCAGGCTTATTGAATGGCTTCATTTCAGATTTGGTTAATTTCTCTCCCAAAATGCATGTCATGTATTCTCAGTAGGCTGTATTCCCAGCAATCAATAAATGGACACACATTAAAAACTATTTGCTGGCTTTAATTTTTCTAAAGCTGAACGCCTCAGTCTTACATTGGTTCATATGTTTTGCATTTTTAAAAATCTTTTTATTTTTCATGATGTATATATGTGAAATTAGATATTACTAAATTTAGTAGGTACTACTAAAAACACATGGTAATGAAAAGGAACAATTTTTTCACATTAGGTGTAGGTTCTAGTCATGTTTTAGAATCTTCTTTATTTTTCAACACATTAGATTATATCCTGTTTTTCAATTAAGTGAAATGACAGATGGAAATGAGGCATTTATAGTATATTTGGCCTGTATCTTTAAAATAAAAAATATTTGCAAGAATGAATGAGCTCTAATTGGATTCATCTAGGCAGTTCAGAATTTGAGGAAGAGGTTAGACCCAGTTAACCTAAATTTTAATTGTGCAAATGAATCGAGAGTTTTAAATCCTGAGGGAAAGCTGTGGAATTAGGTGGGGATAAGATTGTCAAGGTTGTGGTGACACGATGCCAAGAATCTGAGCATAGCGAGCAGCAAACTCCATACGCGAGGATTTTCTTCCCTTGACTGTGTCATTGTCGCTGCAATCTGGTGTCCCATGGACCCGCCGTGTGTCCAGCCACAGACACCCCAGGTCTGAGTTCTGCTCCTATGGGATTCTCCTCTCACAGCTCTTTCCTGATGTGGCTCTTCAAGTTGATTCTTACATCAAAACCCTCTTCGCTTTGACAGCAGACCTGCTGGAGGTTTTGGAGACACGTGGGGGCTGATACTCCAGGAAACTGAAGGGCTTCGGTATTAACTTTCCCTCTTTCTGCGTGTCCTGCAGCCCATCTAGCCAGCCTGCTTTTCCCTTGTGGCTCAGTTCCCCTCCCCACTCTGCATCTACACGTCTCTAGCATTTCCCAGTAATTTCTTCTTTATATAGCAGTTCAACTCTATCAGAAGCAACCTCCTACACACTGGAGTCACTTGTAGACCCGAAAAACACTGGTATCCGGGCCTTATCCCAGACAAATGGAGTCCAAATTTCAGGGATGGGTCCATGATGGTTTTTAGAAGCTCCCCAGGCAAGGCTTTTCCAGGACTAGGTTGACCGTCACTAAGTACCTCCCCGCTACTTCTAAACTCAACCTTAAGCTTTGCATTATCACTGTAGGTCCTCATTTAATTATTTCTCATTAGTCCCTGTGGGGAAACTGGAAACTTTGGGCAAGTGAAGCCTGTTCGATATCAGCCGATGGGTACAAAAATGTTCCGTGTGTTTCCATTTAGCTTTCAAGGTGTATTGAGAAGTGCTCCAAGTTATGAGAGCTGCCACTAATGCAGGAGTGCCTTGTGTCAGGCCATGCCCAGTCCTGGGCTTTAATCCTCATAATAACTTTGGATAATTTCTGTTAGCCCTGAGATAATGGCTGAAAAAGGTTAAAAACTTGCCCAAATGGGGCACCTGGGTGGCTCAGTCGGTTAAGTGTCCGGCTCTTGATTTCGGCTCAGGTCATGATCTCAGGGTTGTGAGATCGAGTCTTGCGTTGGGCTTGGTGTGGAGCCTGCTTAAAATTCTCCCTTAAGTCCTCCCCGGCTCCCCGGCCCCGCCAAAAGTGCCCAAAGCTGCACATGTAGTTAAGTGGCAGAATAAAGTTTTAAACTCCAGATCTTGAACTACTTTAAACTGAGAATCAGTATGTTTCATTCAGCCCTTCTAGGGAAAAAAAAGGATGCCATGATGTCCAAATACTATACTAGTCCTTGGCAATTGCTGGTGAATTAAATGATTGGGTTTCTCACACTGAGAAATTTCTTTCGGACTCATGGTTCATTACTAATGTGCTGATCAGTGAGGAACACCAGGCAGCCATAGTTACATCTTTCCACAGAAGCTTCCGGAGCCTCTGTGTGCTTTAGTCTGAATGAACCACCCTCTGTTCGTGGCACAGGTATCCTGGGGTTATCTTTCACTATCCCCTTGCCTTTCTCTATTGGACACCCTCTTTCTATATCGGACATCTCATTTCCTATGTCCTATGTTACCCACCTTGGTTCACTTCCTTGGTTTGGAGGTGCATATCCTCCAGTAGCTCACTGAGCGAGGGTGCGGGGAAAGGAAATTCACTGAGACACTTGAGTATCTAAATATCTGTTCACCTATTTTCCCGCTTGAATCATAGTCTCCATAGAAAAATGTGGGTTAGCAAGCACTTTCCCCCCAGTTTTTCAAACTCCTGGGTTCCCGTATTGCTACTGAGAATCCCTAAGCATTCTCATACCTGGTCCTTGACATATGACCTATTTCGGAAACTTGTCCCCACTCTTCTGAAATTTCATGACGCTATTTCTTGGGAATTTGCGTCCATTCCACGGGGTGGTTGACAGGACCCTCGCATCCAGGAAATCAAGCTCTTGAGTTGTGATAAAGTTTCTAAAATTGCCTCATTCATGAAAGTCTTTTTTTCTGTTTTGCTTTCTCACTAAAACTGCTACTATTCAGGTATTAAGCCATTTATTTATTTATTTATAACGATTTTATTTATTGGAGAGAGTGAGCGAGCACGAGTGGGAGGGGCAGAAGCAGAGGGGGAGAGAATCCCAAGTAGACTCCATGCTGAGCCGAACACAGGGCTCGATCTCTTGACCCTGAAATTATGACCTGAGTGGAAACCACGAGACGGATGCTTAACTGACTGTGCCACCCAGCCAGCGCCTTCGAATATTAGGCCTTTGAAATGTTCTTTTATTTTTATTTATTTATTTATTTTGCTTTCTATTTTCTGGGAGTTACTTTTCCCCAATTCTTCTATTGGGTTTTTCATCTCTTAGCAAAGTAAAGGGGGAAGAAAATTTTTTAAAAATTCTTATTCTGGCCTCAAAACGTTCCATCTTTATGGTCTCTCTCATCCAGGTTTTCTTCGTGCGTCTTCCCTGTTTCTTCCATATGGTTTTCTTCTACTTGGCTGGGTCTCTCTTTCTCCTGTCAGAGTCTCTCCTCGGTTGTCGGGTGGTGCTTAGTTACCTGCTGAGAATTCCCAGGAGGGATGCAGATGCTCGGGTGTGTGGGGAGGAGACGTGCACTTGCTCAGCGCTGCACCTGGCATCTTCAGGTCAGAGCCAGGTGTGGCCTCCCCAGCAACATGACCCCCAGCCAGCCGCTGGGTGCGTGGGGTCAGTCGGCTGCTGCTGTAGGGGGACCTGGGCCATCGGACTTCTTTGTCCCTCTTTCAGTCCATCTCATTCTGGAATCTCTCGTCATCCCCACTTCCAGAGGTGCCTGGTACTACCAACTCTGAACCGCCTAGGGGTTCTGTCATGTAAACCTCCGAGGTTCTTGTCTTAGGATGATGGCCAGGGAAGGAGTCGGTTTTCTTGGGTCTGCTAAATCACTAACCATGTATCCACCTGCCCTCCAGCTTCCAAAATCCCGTTGCCATGATTCCCTTTCCCTTTCCCCCCCATCCTTCTAGGTCTGTGCTTGAAAGCAAACAAAACACTGCCAGCACTGTCTCCTGTCTGTTCTCCCCGCCGCGACTGTCGCACACTCTGTAGCCTGAACCTGTTTGCTCAACTGTTTTCCCCAGGGCACAGCCCCGAACACCGACTGTCATGACTATCACCAGTCCATTACAGACAAAGGTCCAAGGCCTGAGAACTTTCCAGCTTGCCCCTGACCTTAACTCTTAATCCTTCCCCTCCCCAGCGCCATGGTGAGAGAGTACAGATGGGTTTGTTAGTCCATCTGTACTCTCTGCTTATCATGGACTCTCAGGAATGAGTGCAGATGGACTAACAAACCCATCATCACTTGTGGGCTTAAGGCTCTGTGTGGTGAAGAGAGGAATTCAAAATGCATGCCACATTGGCCCAAACTGGGTCACCTCCTTGCTATAAAACAATGTGGGGACCATTGATCTGATGTCTCAGAGTGATCGTTATAGCTCACCGTTTGCCTGCCTCGCCCAGCCACTGTTTCTCTTGTACCACACACCGCCCCTTCCTGCCCTGTTGCTTTTCTGATTAAGGAGACAGAATTGAGTAATCTAAATTTGGTGTGTGTACCACAGAGGTGCCAATCATGACAAATAATGAATTAGGTGATCCCCCTGCCCTTCCCTGAAGCATTGAGCTGAAACCAACAAGTTCATTTCATTTAAGACCAAAGGCTGAACTCAGAGTGTTGTCTGTGACAGGAGAGTGCTTTCTTCACTAATTAAGTCACCCGGGCTCAGACAAACCCTCTCCCCTGTGATAGGGGTGCGGCTTATCAAGTTGGCGCAGAGACTGTGTCTTTGGCCTTCTGTTTGCTAAGGGAAGTGGTATATACCTTTGTTACAAATATGTAAGCCAGGAAAAAATGCATTTCTATGTACATATGCACACACACACACACACACACACACACACAAATGCCATGCACTTTTATAAATTTCTTTAGCCTTTTAAGGTCTTTTCTGGTTTTCTTAGCAAACCCACATTTAGAATTCACAACTTCTGGGTCACCAGGGTGACGCAGTCAGTTAGGCATCTACCTCTTGGTTTTTGGCTCAGGTCACGATCAGGGACATGAGATCCAGCCATGAGTCATGCCCCATGCTCAGCATGGAGTCTGTTTGAGATTCTCTTTCCATCTCCCTCTGCTCCCTCCTCCTCCTTGTGTCTCTCTCTCTCTCAAATCAATCAATCCATATTTAGAATTCACAATTTCTGGGTTAAGGGCTGTGTTTTCTAATCAGTTTTGAAAAGGACCTGTATAAAATGCATTTTATTTGCTTTCATAAAAACATAAAAATTTACTTGTTGGAAAGCTATTATATTTGATGTTTCTAAGAAATAAGCCATAGATTAGAAATAATAATTTTTATGATACTCTCTGTTCTGGAGAAATAATGAAGTTCTGTTTCCATCTATGACCTTTGAGTCTTTATTTATTTATTTATTTTTAATTTTAATATTTTGACCTGTGAGTCTTAATATGTGGATCAGGGAGGTTTTATACATGAGGGATTTTGAATGAGTCCTTTTCAAGCTAGTACAAATGAAAATAAAAGATGTAAATAAAATGCATGAAATGGTGCCAATTCATTTTTTTTTAAATGTTATTATGTTGATATATTTAATAGAGCATGCGTTGCTAGTTCCTTTCTCCTCTGTGGTCAGATACCTGTCACAGCTGTTGATTATGAGATTTGGCACCTTTGTGCATTGTCACTAATCATCGGCATCTCCCTAGGAGGGGCCAGAAGACCCCTGTTATCTCTACCTAGCAGAAAGGGCACAGCCCTTGGAAGGAGAGGTGACTCATCCAGAGCCTTCCAGAGTAGCTGAGAAGAGCCCATGCGTTTCAAACATCTAAAACTCTCAGTCTTTCCTAGTTCTCTGGACCTGTTCTCTGGACAAAGTCTGCACTTTGTCTAGAACAGAAGTTCAAAATGTAGAGCTTTTTTTGTGCAGCTTCCTTAAAAGAAATGGGTTTAAGCTTTAGGTAGAGAAGTACACTATAAAGAGCATGTCTAAAGGGCAAAATAAATGAATGTAATTTTAATTATGAGGGTAGAGTTAGCAAAATATATAGGAAAGCAGTTTGGAACTTGGAGCAAGTTTATTCTTCATTTCTCAGGGAACATCTCCTACTTGGATCTGAAGATCACACAGGTAACATGAAGGACAATCCATTTCATATGATATTTTACATTTGGCTTATAACCAGAGGGAGGGCCAACTTTAATAATAAACTAACTCAATCAGGAACATTAATTTTATGCTACAGGTAGGTGATTTTTAAAAAAGATTTTATTTATTTATTTATTTATTTAAAAGATTTTATTTATTTAAAGAGATCACAAGTAGGCAGAGAGGCAGGCAGGGGTGTGGGGGAAGCGGGCCCCCTGCTGAGCAGAGAGCCCCATGTGAGGCTCAATCCCAGGACCCTGAGATCATAACCTGTGGCAAAGGCCGAGGCTTTAACCCACTGAGCCACCCGGGAGCCTCAGATAGGTGATTTTAACTCAATCTGGATTCCATCTTCCTGGAATGTTATACGAAGCTTGCCCCCTTATTTCCTTCGGGCCTTTGTCCAGATGTCAGTGAGAACTTCTCGGACCCATCTATTTCATTTTTAAAAAAGATTTTATTTATTTATTTGTCAGAGAGAGAGAGAGCACAAGCAGGGGCAGTGGCAGACAGAAGGAGAAACAGGCTCCTTGCTGAGTAGTGAGCCCTACACAGGGCTTGATCCAGGACTCTGGGATCATGACCTGAGCTAAAGGCAGACACTCAACTGACTGAGCCACCTAGGCGTCCCTTGACCCATCTACGTCAAATTCCCTTTCCCCCATCTCCCTCACGTTGCTTCCTTCTTTCTAACGCTTATCATCACTTCAAATAATACGTATTCTCATTATTTTGTCTCTCCCTTAACCCCCACATAAGTCACTTGTCTGGTCTGTTCACTGCTGTCTTCCAGTGCACGCAGTAGGTGGTCAGTACTTGTTCAACGAATGAATAACGTCTGAGACCTTTGTGCTCCAAGGTTGGTCTTGTACTCTGAGATGCACAGAACAGTGGGCAGGGTGGGCAGGCGGAAGCCTGGGAATGCAGGAATGGCTAGAAATGAGGGAGGGGCCTGTCGCGAGTGCGGGATTGGGGCCCGAGAGCTACCTTGCAAGGGTGTGCAAGTATACCCACAAACTCCAGCACGGCATCCCTCCCAGAAACGCGTTTGCTGGACTGAGCCTCCCTTTCCTAGGTTCCTGTTTCCTCCTGTTAGCAGTATAATGTTTGCTTTCTGGTCCCACCTGTCAAACTCTGCGATATGGAGACGCTACAGAGAAATCGAGTAATATGTCACTCACGAGTGTCTCGTAAAACAATTCCTTTCCCTACTCTGCAAACCACGCATAACGAAAGTGGGTCGGCACATCTGCGCGGTAACAAGGCAAGCCGACTGGAGAACTGAGGCACAGGCAACCTCGGCATCTCGGGAAGAGTGTCGGAAATGTCTGGAAAGTCCTTTGCTGAGTTGTGGCTGTGGTTCCTGACTTGGCCGAATTGGCAGAGGCCACCAGGGCATTCGTTCAGGGTGATCCGGGGCCGAGCCCGGCTCCGGCACCGGGAACGGCCGCGTGGTGGGGCACCGCCACTAAGGCTGCTCGGGGACGGTTTTACCCCCGGGACCGCCCCGCGGTGTGGCCGGCTCCCGCGAGGGGCGTGTCTTCCTTGGCCCCGCCCCTGAGGCCCCTGCCCGGTGCGGCCTGCAGCGAATGAGCAGGCGCGCCGTGAGGGCTCAGGGGGGCGACGACGCGAGATAAGGCCTGGGGTGGCGGTGGCCGCAGCTCGGCGCCTGGGGGCCCGGCACCCGATCGCGCCACCGCGGGAGGAACCCGGGTTCCGGGCGAGGCTGCCCCGGGAATGCTTTCAGGAGGCACAAACATGGCTGCGGCCGTGCGAGCTGCGGGCGCCCTGCTCCGCGACCGGCGTAAGTGAGGCTGTCGCGGCCGCCTCCGCCGCGGGCGTCCCTGAGACGGCGGGGGCAGCCGGCGCCGGGGACCCCGGGCCTGGGGGCTTCTGGGAGCGGCGCAGGAAGCTCCGCGCGACGGGGCGAGGGGCGCTGTGGAGGTGGGACCGGAAAGGGGTGGCCGTCTGGGAGGGCGAGAGTACGTGGGTCAACAGCGGGGCGCTGCCGGGAGGGGTCCGGGAGCACCGCGGGTCAGCTGGGTGGCCTTGAGCAGTGCGGGAGTTTGTCAGCGCCTTAGTTCTTACATGTAAAATCAGAAATGGGCGTCAGGGGGTTGTTGGGAACGTTAGGGGAGGGAGGGTGTGTTAAGGACCTGCCAGGGAGGATGATAACTAAGGCATCGTGGTCATCACCGCAGGCATCTGTCCTGGAGTTCCCTCCCTGGTGATGGTGGTCGCAGCGTGCCCACTGCTGCTGAATGGTGACTGGGCACGGACCTGCCTTATTTTTTCTTAGCAGTTCCCCAGTTCCCCAGTCTGGTGCCCACTGAGAAGGAATGGAGAGAATCCACTTTGAATTTCCATCAACTTATTACAGGTGCCTTTGTAGAAAGATGGTTAGGACCCAGTTTATACTGAGGGTCAGGTCCCTAAGGGTACTGGGAGCAAAAGGCATTAACTTTTAAGAAGAGGACGCGCAGTGCCAGTAATGGAGCTGAAAGGTGGATTGAATTAGTGTTTTCTTTCTTCCGCCCTTTCTGTGGAAAATCTGACAGGTTCTACATTTGAGGTCATAGAACAGCATGAGAAACTTTAAATGATTTGTTGTTCAGATTATAAGTAACTAAGTGGAAGGATTCAGAGACCATAACAAAAGTGGATTTGAAGTCAATTGAATTATGGACTCTGATTTTAAGATGTAGTTATAATACCTTAATCATCTTGTTGAAATGAAGGAATTAACATCGGGTTGGAAAAAATTGAGTAGTATTTTTGAAAACAAATTCTGAAGGTACAAGTGTAAAAGCAAAGTCTTATACTATGTTTTTAGCATATTACAGAATCAGTAAGAACCTCCCTGGGGTGGGCCACATACTGTGTATACTATATATTTTTTTTTAATTAGAAAGTGGGTAGGTTAATGAATTATTGTTTTTTTCTTTTTGCCTTTTCTTTCCAAATTTTCTACATTAAGCACCTATGTCTTTCATGATTAGAAAAAAAAATTCTGGAATAATAAAAAAAGAGCATTAGTGTTAAATTAGGGACACTTAGGGTGCTTGGGTGGCTCAGTGGGTTAAAGCCTCTGCCTTTGGCTCAGGTCATGATCTCAGGGTCCTGGGATCGAGCCCCGCATCAGGCTCTCTGCTCAGCGGGGAGCCTGCTTCCCCCTCTCTCTCTGCCTGCCTCTCTGCCTACTTGTGATCTCTCTCTCTCTCAGATAAATAAAGTCTTTAAAAAAATAAATAAATTAGGGACACTAGAACATTTTGGTGCCATACCAGAAAATAATTCTTTTTTTAAAACCTCCCCTCTCCAAGTGTTTATTAATAGTCACCATATAGTACATTATTTCTGCTAATTTTCAAAATGGTACCTATTTTTGTAAGTACCTTTTGAAATAAACCTCATCCCCTATGTGGTAGGAAAAGGCTCCGTTACATATTTAAGTGCTTGTGTGCCTTTATACCCTCCCCTTCCCCAACCCTAAGCATCCAAAATATTAATTTGGTTTTGGAGAACCAGTTGATACCCATGAACTTAAGTTACGGATAAACTGTTGAATGCTTCACCTTTTGGGTTTGTCCAGGAGTTAGGAAGTTTTGCTTTCTTTCTAGTCTCTTCTGCATTTTCTTAGTTTTATAGCCTTCATGGTTTTGTAGGCCTTCCACAGGTGGACGAGCAGTTCATGTCATAAGTAGGGTTAGAATACCTGGTCTTAGTTCATAAGTGGGCAAGTCCCTGTTACTGAGTATTCTTCTCATTTAACCACATGTGGTGTGTCTGGTACTGTTGTTAGGGCTGGACGTAGATTTAAAATTTTTTTCCTAATCTTCACAACAGTCCTGCAGGGTTAGCCTTATCACCATTTTACAGATGAGAAAAGTGAGGCTTGGAATAGTTCTTTGAGTTGCCCAGGTGCTGCCACACAGCCTGTTTGGTACTATCAGGGGTTTCCACGAGATCTCTCTGGCTCTGGAACACGGACACTCTGTGCCACACAATGCTGTCTCTGCCTTTGGATTTCTCTTAAGCTGTGAGCTGAGTATATATTCAGGAGTCTCAGTTGATCCTTTGTTTGAATAGTTAAACAACTTTAGCTACGTGTATACTAATTGGTCGGAGACTACTCTTTGTTTCTCTGAAATCTTCAGATCATTAGGGGAGAGGAGTGTCATAGAGAAGTTCTTGAGAGGTGGGTATATTAACCCTAAGTCCCGAGCACAGAGGACCCATTATTAGCAGCAGTGCCCTGAGAATTTGTTCAACTACGGAGGATTCTGTAAGCGTAGGGCATGGCTCAACAGATCAGCAGCTTGAAAAGCTCCCAGCTGTCCGAGGAAGTACTAATGTACTAGTTAACGATTCTAGTCTCACTCTCATTCCCTTCTGCCACTCCCTTTTTAAGATTCACAGGGGAAATCTTATTACCAGCAGTCAAATCATGTAATGCCCCAATTCTATTCTGATACCCCATGGAACCCAGTATAATCTCATTCATATAAGGAATCACAGACATTGTGACATGATTGAGAACCTGGTTAAATCTCATGCAGTTCAGAATTAAACTTGTCTAAAATAAGGAGATGTGAGTTGGTTTGAGACTTCATTTGAGCAGAATTGAACTTCTTTATGTCAATCTCTTGCACTTTCACTTTGAGTTAATAAGGACTGTTCAGCACAAGCTCACGTAATTGGCTCTGTTGGGAATGTGCACAATATGGATAGTTGGAAATCTAAAGGGCCTGGAGATACCATTCTCCTATATCTTATAGACAGGATAGGTGAAAAAAAATCAGCAGGTGTATTCCCTATGCTCTTACAAATGGAGCTAATGCGAGCACTGATCATCTATGGCAGGCGCTGTGGGGAGTGCGTCACGGGTGTCCTTGGCTGTAATCATCACAAGGATCCTGGTAGCAAGGTGTCGACATTTTACTGGGGAAACGAAGGCTCAGAAAGAGTGTAGCCTGGCCCCAGTACATTACTAGTAAGTGGCAGAACTGGGGGCAGTCAGATCTGCTGACACATAGCCTGAGTTCCTCACCCGGTCTCCTCTGACTCATAAGTAGGAGGAGGGTAGAAGGAGACTGATCTCAGCTGTTTTCAGACCAACTGGTTTGAGAGCAGAGAAGGGAGAGGTCATGTGTACAGGGTGGGGCAGTAACCACTGTCCCACATTGCCATCTTGAGGACCTACTGTATAGCTTCAGTTTAATTTCACTGTAGGTCGTTTAAGGATGAAGATTCTTCCTGCTACAGCTAAATAGGGCCCATGGACTCCTTAGTTCTGGTGGCTTCTCCAGGCCCACACCTAACTGTTGTGGGGCCAGGACAAGAGTGCAGATGGAGACCCACATATCATATGTGGGATAGCCAGCTAGCAAGCTGTGAGATATGTTCTCCACTACTGGCAGCTAGATCTTCATCGTGCCCTGGAAGAAATGTCAGAAATGTCAGAAAATGTTGCTGCCTTGTAGAGAGCTACCTCTGGCCTGTAGGCTTCCCTGCTTCTCTTTCCACTGCCGGCTCTGCCCTGCATGGTGAAGGGTCCTGTGCATATGCCTGGGCGGACACTCCAGGCTGCGTGTTTGAGCTCTGATCTTGCCCCCGCACATAGCTTCCCTCGGGTCAAGAATTGCTTGCATGGATGGTACAACCAGCACTCAGGAGGCTAGATCTAGGAAGGAGGCCAGTGCAGACCCTGGCGCTGAGTGTGGGGCTCTGGGGACAGGGAATCCTGGGGTTCTGGGTCCTGGGAGCCTGGTCAGGAATGTGGGCCATGGACTCTGGGGTCCCTGAATCCTTGGCTGTGCAGACCACATACCCTGTTGCGGGGGGGCTGCAGCAGGAGGAGGGCCAGAATGGGCCCTCTAAAGTACCCTTGTCAGGGCCCAAGGGCAATGCTAGGGTTCTCAGCACTGGTGCTTTTTTTTTCTTTTTTTAAGATTTTAAATTTATTTATTTGTCAGAGAGAGAGAGAGTGCGTACACGGAGAGAGAGAAACAAGCAGGGGGAACGGCAGGCAGGGGGAGGGGGAGCCCTACACAGGACTTGATCCCAGGACAGTGGACCACAACCTGAGCCAAACAGACACTTAACTGACTGAGCCACCCTGGGGTCCCTAGCACAGGTGCTTTAAGTGAGAAAGTTTATAGGCTGATGAGGTCTGCAACTGACAGTGGAAAACTGGCTTGATGGTTAAATCAATGGTTCTTAGCCTGTCCTGCAAGCTTCTCACTTTCACATCAGCAGCACGCTGCTGCCATTAACTTCCAGAAATGTGCAGCGATCGTTTCAGAATCTGCCGAGGCTGAGTGAGGAGGTGTGTTTCTTAAAAAGCTCCCTGCAAGTCCTGATACGCTGCCCTAGGGGGCGCCACCCCACCTCGTCAGAGGGATTTTAAGTGCCTTGACCTATGTGCAGAGAAATGCTGGGAAAACCTGTGCTACAGCATCTCTTTAAGTTTTAAATCCAGGACTGCTGCTCTGAGGACCTCTTCCAAAGGAATTACTTCCCCGCTAGATTTCATGCTGCTGCTTTAACTTTGTCACAGTGGTGCATGGCGGCTCGAGGACCTGCCAGCCATGGAGGTGCCAGTCCATGGGAGCCACGGCAACAGCTACCGCAGAAACAGCCCAACGTGCCAGAAGCCCAAAACCACAGGTGCAACCGGGGAAGAGGTAGGACTCTAACTTGTGGTACTACTAAGAATTTGTGTTTGTGGATGCAAGCTGCTTGAGGAGAAAGCTGCTGGGGCATGCCAGCATGTAAGAGTGGGATGTTAGAGTCTTGGCTTCCTTTCAATAGCAGGAAGAGTACAGCTCTCACACACAAACATACCCCCCCTCCAAGGTTTTAAATTTTTTTTGAAAGTTTTTACAAATTTTTAAAATTTTTTATTAAAAAAATTTTTCCCAGCTTTATTGAGGTATGCTTGACAAATGAAAATCCCACGGGCTTTTGTTAAAGGACACATAGCTCAGTACAGTCTGCAAATCATGTAGGAATTTAGTTCTGGAATATGTCATGTAACACAAATTATATGTATGCTGGAAGTGTATTTACAAACCTAACATAATTACCCCTATGAAATGTCTGTCCTGTATAGGATAAAGAATAACTAATCTGTCAAGAGTATATATAGTAAACTCTGCCCATTATTTTTCACTGTTAACACAGTGAACATAATTAGAAATGAAATAATATGATTTGCGATTTATTAAAGGAAGAAAGGGCCTGCTGTTTGCTGGTGGACGTCAGTGGGCATGGCGTTGTTGTTGGGTGTCTTCTTCCATAACAGAAGCCACAGCTGTGCCTGAGTCTTCCTTGGTACAGAGGCAGCATAAGACTCTAAAAGGCAATCATTTAGATAAGTTCACAGAAATAGCACACTCCAACCCTAGCAGGGTGAAAGAAGGAAAGTTGCCGTGAGCTATTAACTTCCTGACTTTTCTTCTAGACCGGCTGTTCCGTGAAAGCAATACAGCTATGAACATGGATAGTCTTATTTTGTGTGTGTTATTTTTCATTGTGTGATTCTGGGTACGTTGACTGAACACTGAGGAAACTGAGGTTTGGGGGGGGATAGAGCCATAGGCAAAGTGTTGAAACCTTTTGGAGGGAGAAGTTTTAAATATGTTATGCTTTTATACTTTTACATTCAAACAAACGGAACCTGACATTCAGAGCTTGGTGTCAGATGGGCTGTGTCTGGAGGGGAGGAGAGACAGATCATGGCTAAAGCTTTGCACTTCACATTCTCGCATAGAGGGTGTCGGACTAGGACCGCTAATGCGCCATTCGTCATGCACAACACAGTTTTGAATTAAGTGCGTGTGTATTTAGGTATTTTCAAATCATGTGCATCTCTTTCATGTGTAAGCTCATCATGGTTTACAAAACATGGGTTTGCAGAGCAGAGTAACATCCAATTCAAAGCCACTCTTGTTCTGAGCTCAGGTGTTATAGATGGAAAACAGTTCCAAATCTCGTTTGCACATTGATACCCTCTGTGGCTTAGGTAAGTCTCTTAGCTTGGGGTTTCTTAACCAGTAATCTGTTAACTGGCAGCAGTCCATGGGAAAAAGCGCTTAATTTATTGTGAGTCACAGATTTTGAGGGTGAGACACAGGATCCCAGAACACTGGTGGTCTAAAAAGAAAGATTAAAGGAGTATTACAGTTTCACAGTGTAATGAATTTGGAATTTTCAGGTATCAAGAAAGGAAAACTAAATACCAGCTTGTTAATTCATTGATAGGACTTTTGGACAGAGGAGGTGGAAAAGTTGTAGGACAATGACCACCTTCCAAAGTAGTTGCTTGGTTTAGTAAAAAAGAGAGGAAACCCCCTTCCTCTAACCCAGTGGTTCTCAGCAGAGGGAGGGGGGAGCTCTCCTCTCCCACTCCCCAGGCGTATTTGCGATGTATGGAGACATTTTCGGTGGTCACAACTCGGGTAGGGTTTGTGCGGTTGCCACCCAGCAAGTAGAGGCCAGGATGCTACCGAAACCCTGCGACATGCAGCACAGCCCTCCACGGCCGGGGACCGTCCAGCCCAGAATGCCAGGAGTGCCGAGGAAGAGAAGGGTTGGCCCAAGACAGTGATGTGACAAATGGACCTACTTCATTGGCCCAAGACAGTGATGTGACAAGTGGACCTAGTTCATCCTAAATGGGAAGATCCCTGACGTCCCTGGAATGCAACACTGCCCTTACCCCAGGAATTGGTTCTTATTTTGGAAACTTAGGTTGAGAAATTCAGATTTCTGCTTCATTTGTGTTTGCTTAAGCAAACAGTTTCCACCTGTATACATTTGACACACTGTCCTGGCTCACATCATCACCACATTAGTGTTTCTTTAAAATTGCAATAAAGATGTGCTCATGATCTTGTTGACTTTTTAGAACACATTAGGACTGGTTCTCCAAATGAGCCATCTCGGCAGGGCCAGCTCAGCCACTGCGGTAGTTTGAGGTAGTCTTGACGGAGGAGGGTTAGAAAGTGGGACCCCTCCGCATTTGTAACAATGGTGTTTGACATAAACTGCAGTCTGGTCGTTTCTCAGCTGCTTTATCAAGAGTGAATGGAGATGACTTCAGCCAGAAAAAAGAAAGAAGTACTGATAATCATGCTGTGACATGGATGAACCTTGAAAATTGTATGCTAAGGGAAAGAAACCAGACACAAAGGGCCACATATTATGTGATTCTATTTCTTTTTTTTAATATATTTTTAAAAGGTTTTATTTATTTATTTGACAGAGATCACAAGTGGGCAGAGAGGCAGGCAGAGAGAGAGAAGGAAGCAGGCTCCCCGCTGAGCGGAGAGCCTGATGCGGGGCTCGATCCCAGGACCCTGAGATCATGACCCGAGCTGAAAGCAGAGGCTTAACCCACTGAGCCACCCAGGCGCCCCTATGTGATTCTATTTCTATGAATAAGCAGATCCATAGACCCAGAAGGCAGATCAGGGGTTGCCAAGAAGGAGCAGGAGGAAGAATGGGGAATGTCTCTAGGTTGCGGGGTGCAGACATTCTTTCAGGGTAATGAAAATGTTTAGGAATTGGATAGTTGTAATGGTCACATAACTTGGTGCATATATTAGAAACCACTGGATTGTAGTTTAAAGTGTCAGATTTTATGGCATGTAAATCATATATAAATTTTTACAGATGCAAAAAAAAAAAAGAAAAAAGCACATGAATGGAAGAAACACTCCTTGTCCTTCAGTGTCCCCACAACAGGCTCTTTCACTGCTGTCACAGGGCTACCACTCATGGGACCACACAGGCCTGCAGTCTCTGGCCTCTCATCTCTGGCTGTGACCTCAGAGTTCCAAGTCTCCAGGCTTGGGCTGCTGGTGGCTACTGGAAGCATGCAGGAGGCCCTTGGTCCCACTCTGGCTCCATCCTGCACCCTGAAGGGGTTTAGGGATGGGGAACTCATCTTGGCCTGGCTCCGTTTAGTCTGTGCAGGCTCCAGAGCGGCTCTGGAATTTAGAGGTTTGGAGTTTGCATAATCCTTTTGTTTATTTAACTTCCCCCAAACTGTTTGATTTTCTTTTTTTGCTTCTTCTGGCTTATTCAGTGCTTGATTCTTTAGACTGGGAACTATTTGAATAAGATACAGCAGTTTCTTGTAGGAATCAGCTAAGCAGTGGCTGTAGATCAAGGGTGGAGAGGTGAGTGCAACGTGAGAAGTGTGTGTACTTTATTGTAGCAGGAGACACGAAGAAGGAGTAAAGGCAGCCTCTGGAGAAGGTAGCAGAGTAGCAAGAAATAACTTGTCAGTAATAATTTAATAACTAAGGAGAGGGAGCAGATAAAGAATTAGATATAGGCTGCTTTTATACTGTGGAGGTTTAAACTTCTAGGAAACCCATGGCTTCTCTGTGTATAATAGAACTTCTGTGTTCCAGATCATGCAAATTAACTAAGTACACTATCTATTTAGTTCTCCAGACAGCATTTGAGATAGTTGGTGGACTCTGTATCTTATAGATGAGGAAACCGATGTTCAGAGAGACCAAGTCATTTGTGTATTCGTGAGGCATTCGCATGAACAGTTGCTCCAACCACGGGACAATTGTAGATTTATACCTGGCTCTTGGTCCCTAAAGCATGGGATCTTTGTTCAGGGCTGACCATTTAGTGGAGAAACGTTTTAAGCCCAGAGAGTCCAGCATCATGGAGGGAGCTAGGAGACCAAGGTCAAAGTCAGAGCTGGATCTGTGTGGAACCGGAAGCCTCGTGCGTTCCCAGATAGGTAGCCATGGGATGCCAGTGCATAGCTCTGTAGCTCTGTACCTTTGCTTTGAACAGATTGGATGTGAATTTGCTCCTGAACCAAGACTGTACCTTAGAGGATACAAATCAACCATTGCATTTTGTTTTCTGCAGGAAGCCGAAAACTGGAATATTGATGCTAAACATGGGAGGCCCTGAAACGCTGGGGGATGTTCACGACTTCCTTCTGAGGCTCTTCTTGGACCGAGACCTCATGACGCTTCCTATTCAAAAGTAAGATATGTCTAAGCACCTGTGCTTCTTCCTCACTTATGCAGCACCTCTTGCCTTACGTGTACCTCAGTTCTTTAGTTTAAAAAAAATAAGTGGCTTTAATACATATCTGATAGTGGCTAGAGCAGCATTATTATTTTCCATTAGGTATAAGAGGAATATGATACTGCAAGAATTGCAGTGGAGAGAGAAAGCAAGTGGGGGGCGGGTAGAATTCCCCTTGAGCCCTTTCTTTCTCAGAGCTCTGGAAATTGCAGTTGTCTTGACACAGCTGAGGTCCCATTAAAGATTGTTACAGAGATATTTGTGCTTGGCACTCGATGGCTGATTAATAGGGAAGCAGTGATTAGTATTCATTCATACTGTGACTGTGGACTGTGGCTCTCCCCTTTCATCTCCCCGCCCCACTGCCCCGTTTATTTATTCCCTTCTCTTTTAAAATAGTTTTTTATAAAGAAAAATGTATATATGCATATGATAAAAAATGCAAATAGCAGAAAAAAGTTCACAGTAAAAAGCAAGTATCCCTTTCCTTGGGATTCCGGCCTTCCAGTTACCCACTGGGAGGTTACAGGTGTAAGCAGAAATAGAGAAATCTGTAATTGTACAGATATCTTTCTGGTTACATTTAGAACTAGTTTGTGCATATGCAAGCATATACATATCTTTATTTATAGATATAGATATATAGGTATGCATGTACATGTATATCCTCCCTGTTCTGACACAAGTGTGAATGTACTTATGTACATTATTTAACAATTTGCTGTTATTTTTTTCTTTAAACTTAATGTATCTTGGAGATTGTTCCAGAACAGATTACATAGATCTGGTTTCTTGTTTTTTTTTCCACGACTGTATAGAATTGCATTGTTGAGTCATACCTTAATTTATTTAACGTGTGGCTCATGGTGGACATTTACGTTGTTTACGTGTTAAAATGAACATTCGTATGGTTTGCGTACATCTTTGCTCATAGGTGCAAATGTATCTATGATTAATATGCATTTTCTTAAAGTAAGAGGAATATATGCTTCCCAATGTCTTCTATATCCCACTTCCTACTAGGTGTAGGATCAGACATTGCTAAGACAGAGGCTCGCACGCATCTAGGGGCTGTGCCTGAATGTTCGGTGTCCTGCTTCTTCAGGCTGTGTTGCTAGAATGTCACGTGGGGCAGAGGTGGCCACCTCTCTGAGAGCGTTTAGTTTGCGGTCTACTCAAGGCCAAAAGAGCTGGCTGTTGTCACTCAAGTCTTCTGTTTCTAAAGGCTTGATATGCTTAGGCTCTTCTTATAATTTTGCTTATCTTTTCTGTTGAGTAGTTTCTGAGGTTGCTCAGGTGGAATAAGACCCACTTACCTACCTGTTAAATGATTTAGCAAGTTGGCGCCAATCATCGCCAAACGCCGAACCCCCAAAATTCAGGAGCAGTATCGCAGGATTGGAGGCGGGTCTCCCATCAAGATGTGGACCTCCACGCAGGGAGAAGGCATGGTGAAGCTGCTGGATGAGTTGTCCCCACACACAGGTACTTAATCACCATCTCACTAGGCTTGTTTTTGCAAATCAGATCTGACATCCCGAACACGACTGGGTGGTGGGTGCAGTTCTGGGGGGGTTCCTGTGTGATGCATGGTCCCTTAACTCTGTCCTCCAGGCATTATCCTTTGTCGTGGGCCATGTAGCCTGTTACTTCCTTATGTTGCAGAGGAAAGAGCAAAATATTTGGAACAATTAGTTTCAAAAGGAGGTTTGAGGCGTGGGTTAAGTTGAGCTAGGTCATAAGAAAGAGGCCACATACCATGAAGAAAAGATGCAGATCTCATTGCCCCGGAAAGAAATCTTTGGGAAATGGAACAGGGCTGCTGTTAGTGCCTTTCCTTTCTGTGCAGAAAGCTCATTAGATGAACAGAGCAGTATTCGCTAGCTGTCAGGGCAACCGTGAGACCGTAAGCAACTTTCAGCAGCTGCTCTCGGTGTTCAGCGATACTGGCTAGCATGAGGCGCTGGAGGACTGCATGCAGCTAGTAACTGTCCTCTGAGAACCTCTAATGCAGAAGAAGAATGTGCAGAATGAAGCCTTCACTGCACGAAAAGAATTGTAAGTGCTGCAGTTAGCTGCATTCAAGACCCATTGCACGTTGCTGGACACACCATCATTTTTATGTATACCGAGACAAGAAACTCTGCCTGCTAATACTAAGACAGCATCTGTTGCAGAGGTGGGCCAATATGAGAAATGTTAAACCAAGAGATGTGCACGTAAGGTGCATGAAATACATGCATTACAGGTGCATTTTGGGGCTTCAGAATCAGGACAGGAGTATGATACAGTGAGGAGCCTCGAGGACCGCCCCCCCCCCCCCAGGTGGGACCAAAAGCATTTCCCTTTGCTCTGAGAGAACAGCACTGAGTGTCCCCTCAAGCGGCTCTCAGAAGCCACCATTTCCCGTCACACACAGGGACAAAGGCTCTAGCTCAGCTCAGCTCACTTGGAAAATTGTTCAGTCATGCTTCTGAGCATCGGGTGTGCTTCCTGCCTTCGCTGGTGGCTCAAGGGCATTTCCTACACGGTTCAGCCACTTGCACCACAATGTGTCTTGAAAATATTAGGGGAGGAGAGCTTGGCTGTGCCCTACTCACACCTACCTGATAGAGAACAAGCCCCCTGGTCCTAAACAGTTTATCACCATAAAAGGTTTAGTGTGAATCAGACCTTCAGTTGCTGTGATGTCTTCAGTGGAAAAAAGAGGGGGCAAGATGCCATTTCTTTCTATTGATGTAGTAGTGCAGTATTCTATCTTCATAGTCAGAACTGTGATTTTTAAATGATCGGTTATTAAGCATTCCATCTTACAGAGACTTATCTGAAAAAGTAAAGTCTATTATTCTTCCTTGTAATTTTGGGGATAAGTTTAGGGTGTCCACTCAGTGGCTTGCCTCTCCAGTCCCTCAATCGTTACTAATGTGACAAGAAGTCATCTTTCCTCCTTTCTCGCTCCATTCACTGGGAATTACCTGCTCTTTTCACGCGGTAATTCCCACTTCCATCCATTCTTAAATCCAGCCGGCCGCCAGGTGTTTGTAAGCACTGACCACACTCTGACCACACTCAGGTACGGTATAGTGGTAAGGGATAAAGTAGTGAGTACGTCACACCCTTACCTTCATGGAGCTCAGTGACCTGGTCATTGTCACCAAGGCAGGGAGTTGTCTCAGGCTGCTTCTAGTTTCTCTGGATCTGGGAACCTTGTCCAGGGCCTGGTCCTGGGAGGGCTTTGGTGCTGATGACCCTTTGACCTACCACTGTTCTCTGTGGCCCATACTTGGGACCCTCGGAGCAGGCAGGTTGAATTATTGCTCTCTCCTGCACCATAGATGGCCACCTGGCAGTTTCGGCAGACTGCTCTGGGGCGATGGTAGCGAAGCTTGATGAGGCCCAAGACTGGCCATCCGTTCATTCATCCATGGTGCCCGAGTGCCCTGCACTGTTCGATACTGCCTTTCAAAGTCAAAAAACATGGTTTCTACTTAGGAGAAGCTTCCAGTCCAGGGAGACCCTGCAGTTGCAGCCTAGTCTGCTTAAGGGGCAGAGAGAAAATCTTTTAAGATTAACTGGAGAAATGCTACACAAAACAGGTGGACCAGTGATCACACAGAATGCAGACGGAGGAGAAATGGAATAGTCTCGAGGTTTGGGAACCGCTTTGGGGGAGGTTTGTGCTGAAGACCAAGATTATCAGGTGGGGCTTTGTGGCTCTGCCAGGGGCCTGCCCAGATTACCTAGAAAGAGGTTCCTTGTCCTGCTGTCTAAGGCTTGGCAGAATGAATGGCTCTGAGCCAGTGCTGAAGACCCAGGCCCCTCACCCGCTTCGTGTGGATTTTCCTTCCCGTTTTCTCTGTCCTTCCCTCCTTTCCTCTCTTTCTCCTTCCTCTTCCCTTCTCATACTTTCACACAAAACCATAACGTGTGCTTTTAAACTATGTCTATTTGTTTATTTCTATTGAGAGAAAGTTCTCTTTAGGCAAAACAGTGCGATGACTACGAACAGATAGAAATGTTTCAAACTCTTATTTTTTTAGGGAAGTACTTATTGCTTAGTAGCTGGTGAAGAGATCTCAGCTTGCTCTGGCTTTGTGTAGAATTGACTGTTAAGTCCTACGGTCAGTTTAACAAGGGGATATAACTTGGAATTGGTTTCATGTGATTACACCGCATTACAGGAATTGAGGGAATACAGAAGGAAATAGATGAGAAGTGTCATCACTTCATGAAAGTCTAAATCTCAAACACATTTGAAAAATGATAGTTTGGTTTTGTAGACTGTGACTGCTTCTCAGGCAGCTGTAAGTATGTGCTGCGCTGCAGAATAATTGAGTGGTTCTTTACAGGATCAACGGTGGGGAGGAGCATGGGCTTTCTTCAGATGGAGCTGGCTTCCCTGGGCCTGCTTGTAGGAGTTCAGCCAGATGACTTACCCCACTAAGCCTCATCTCGAAAATGGGGGTGATCACAGAACCCAACTACTAGAATCATTGTGAAGATTACACAAGACAATCATGAAAGGCATCAGCCTGGTGCATGGTACATGTTAAAAATTCAGTACGTGTGAGCCTTTATTATGATTCATTGTTGGCCTAGGGCTCCTGACATGATACAACTCAAAAAGCATTACGCTATTTCACAACTTTCTCTCAGAGTCATGTACAAATCAGACATTTGATCTGTGGGCTGGAAAGGAATGAAGTTTCATGGCTCAAAAATTCAATCAGTTTTGTTTTTTTTTTCTTTTCCTGGTCACATGTCACCAAAGACTTCTGGGTGGTTGGTGGCTCCAAGGGTAGACTAGGAGAGCGCGGCGAGTGGCCTTCGGGGAAACATGTGTTTCCTCAGGCTAGGTAGGGTCGGAGAGAGAGGGAGCACATTGCTCTTCTCCAGTAGTACTCTGTGCAGGCTATCTTTAATGGAATAGTCTAGCAAGTCTTATCTGTTCCTTACAGAATATTTTACCCTCACTCCCTTCCAAGTGAGGTCTCCACCCTGCCTTTATCTGCAGGGGCACTCACTCTACCTCTCTTGCCTACAATATTGGAGTAACTCCTAGGCCCTAGGCATTTAGTCTGCAACTTTTCCCAGGTGGAAGGAAAATGCCGGAAGCTGGTCGGCTGGTAGTATTGGAGGCTCTTATCCTAGCAATCTAGTCATAGGATTGTCTCAGAATAGATTAGAAGGCAAATTCCACTTCAACCTCAACTTAGGTCCCCTAGAGCTCCTCAGACAGGGGGGCTTGGTAGGTGGTAGATGGCAGTTTTCAGATGAATCACACTGTAATCTTCAGCGAGTCAGTTAGTCATTTGGACTTTGCTTACAGCATCAGGCGTTCTGGTGTATTTTAGCTGCAGTTCATCATTTTACAAAAGAGAACATAAAATTGGTAGCCTAGAAGGGACAGACTGCTGAATAGGATTCCCCTTATACCCCTTCCTTCCTCTTTTTGCGGTCGCTAGCCAGAGACTATCAGAGCAGCCCGTTCTTCCCATGCACATACACATTTCTCTCTCCTTTCTGTCGTCCATGCCTGTCCTTGGGAACATGTATCCCTGATTGCCCATTGCCTGTGTCCCGTTGCTGAGGAACTGTTTATACAGATACACGAACGTGTACCTTTTCTTTCACTGCAGCCGAAATGTTTCTTGTGGCTATTTCATGACCCATACTTAGTGTAGCCCCTGCTCACGCTAGGACAGTAGCATCATCTTGATTCTGTTACGGCTTAACATTTATGTTGCGTATTCCCAGTGTCATCCCTGAGTGGGAGATAGCTTTGTCCTATGAAATGGCAGGAAACTTTCAGTTTCATGATTTTCTAAATGCCTAAGAAATTGTGTGCTGGCGGGTGTTTTTAAGATCCAGGACAAAAAGATGGAGAAGGACAAAGGATGGCTAGGAGAAGGGGTGTGTAAGGAATGTCGAGGGAAGGGAGGCAAGGGTATACCCCGACTTGGGCTGTTACTTCAAATCCGGATGGGTGTCTCGAATTTAAGCTTTGCTCTTGGGTTTCTTTCCTCTATTAAATGAGAATCATTTCAATCGTTTGTTATCCGTGAACAGCTGTTGAGTATCCCAGAGCTCACATAGGTGACCTGGAGCCTAAGGGAGCAGGAGGGAACAGGCTGGGTGGAAGCAGGCTGGGGTGGGGACAGGAAGGGGCACAGGCTTGGGAGGGGCAAGACCCACATTCACGTTCAGCTCCACCATCTGCTGGTGTGACTTTGGGCAGGTTCATTAACCTTGGAGAATTTTAGTTTCTTTATCTGAATAATGGGGCTTGAATGAAAGAAAAAACAGAAGCAAAGTGTCCACCATGGTATCTGGCACATCAGAGGAGGTTATATTTCAAGAATAAGTGCTAGTTCTTTCCTTCCTGCCTTTGAGTGTCTCTTCGCTCAGTCAGGAGCAGAGACTAAAGAACAGAAGTATGAGTTTGTTTGTTTTTTTTTTTTTTAAAGATTTTATTTATTTATTTCACAGACAGAGATAGGCAGAGAAACATGCAGAGAGAGAGGAGGAAGCAGGCTCCCTGCTGAGCAGAGAGCCCGATGCAGGGCTCGATCCCAGGACCCCGGGATCATGACCTGAGCCGAAGGTAGAGGCTTTAACTCACCGAGCCACCCAGGTGCTCCCAGAAGTTTGAGTTTTAAAAAACACTGTGCTCAGCAAAGGTGTGGGGGTGGGGCGTGGAGGTTGATCCCGGAAAATAGTGCCTAAAAGTTCCAGCACTAGCAAAGACTGGGTAAGATCTGAGGAATATTCTAAACTTACCCCCAGTATCAGCCTCCCAGGAAATGAGGTTAACTGTTCTTTGTTCTGGGCTTTGCATGACGTTTGGCACTCTGAGGAATCTATATAAAGATTAATACTTTCTCCTTTCCACACATGCCTCCTAATAGCCCCTCACAAATACTATATTGGATTCCGGTATGTCCATCCTCTAACAGAAGAAGCAATTGAGGAGATGGAGAGAGACGGGATCGAAAGGGCTATCGCCTTCACACAGTATCCACAGTACAGTTGCTCCACAACAGGTGAGCCTTCCCCTTGACCGTGGGTGCGAGGGATGCCGGGCCCTGGCAGCCATCACCAGGGAATGCAGCAGGAAAGGATAAATCATTTTCTATTTGAATGGCAAGTCTAGCCTGCCCGCTTGAAACACAAGAGTACAGCTCAGTCCATTTGAAATCTCAGGGTTCGTCTGTCCTTGAGTTATGGGCCAGTCGCCTGAGAGTCACAAACGGTGGGTTTGGAAGGCGGTCACCGCTCCTCAGTGCTTTAATGCAGTTGTGTAATGGATCAGAGATGAACGTTAAGCCACTTTTTATATTTGCGTAATAAACCCTATTTTTATGGCAACCCTAATATTCTCAGTAACGTAGCAAAGGTGATAGCTGTTTCCATTTTGAAATCAGAGGTACCCAGGTGGCATGAGAAATATTGGTATGTTTTTTCATTGTGTTTTACTTATGGGTTGGTTTACTGGTTAAACCAAAGCCCAGCTTGAGGTTCCCTTTGTAAACTTCTCTCAGTGTTCTAGATTTTGGAAAATATTACTGTGTGCTGTTTCCTGTATATTTAGATGGAGCAGGAGAATAGTCATGTTTGTCCTTATCTGTAGAATTGGTAGTAGGTAAAGCTTCTACTGTTGCCCACAAATACATTTGTTTGCATTCTGTTTCAAGGATTGGGCTCAGCACATTTGGACTCCCAAATTGTTTTTGGATGTTAGTGCGTACTGTTTCTATAATTATGAAGGGAAGCAAAAGGCTGTCCGAGGAGATGTTCAAAGCCTATTGTATGCCTTAAATGTTCGCTCAGAGATGAAGATGCCTGAGTTCTCAGATACCCTCAAGAGTTTGAGTTGCAACTTCTTTTGGAAATATACCTCTGCAACTCAAAATGTCTGCTAATATGTTATTGGAGAAGGAGTCAGATTTTATAAATTTCTAAGCATAGCTTTGCCTTGCTTTACACAATAGACCTCAAACGTAGGTGTGCCTGGGCGGCTCGGTCAGTTGGTTGAGCATACAGCTCTTGATTTCAGCTCAGGTCCTGATCTCGAGCCCTGAGTCAGGCTCCACGCTTAGTGTGGAGCTGCTTCTCCCCGTCCCTCTTCTCTTCCCCCTGCTTGTGCGCACTCTCTCTCTTACATGCCCTCAAATAAATACATAAATGAATGAGTGAAATCTTTAAAAGAAATGTATACTTCAACTGTAGATGTCTGCTCTCAAAATTAGACAAGTTAAGAAGATGGTAATTTGTGTATCAGAGGATTGACTGGGTTTCATTTCACAGCTGAGTCTCCCAGTGGGTCTCAGTTATCAGAGTCTTTGCGCCCTTTCCCTGGTCCATCTCACATGAAAAGGCAGGTACATCTTCACTCAGAGATCCGAAAGCCTTTGGGAAGTGCATCCATCCTTGGAGGCCAGGAAAGTGTTGTTTACCTGTTGTATCATTTAGACACACGTTGTTGGGGCAGAGCCAGGATAGCCTGTATCTCAATCACATGCAGTTGTTTTGGTTCTATTTTCCCTTTCATTACTACTTCGGGTAGTTTATCAAATGTTTCTGAGTGACCCAGAAGAACTGATGTGGCTTCCAGAAGTCCTTCTGTGGCTTCAGAAGTCCCGAGGATGATATTCGCCTGTACGGTGTGGCTTGCAGTGTGACTAGGCTGGGGACTCTGGGATTTCTGGAGACATTGTTTTCGAACATGCAGTGGACTCAATTTGGATTTATCTGACTCATTGGATTCCGGAACGAAACTCATTTATCTTTTTGAGAATTTCAGTTTTAGGCTAAGTGTACGTTTGATTTAACTATGGGCTGTATCCGGGCTCTTATTTTAATCTGGAGACATACCACATTAACAGCCTTCATCGTTGCAGAAACCGGTGCATTGATGTTGGGAAGCAGGGAAATGTTGTGGAACATTTACCCTATGTTAACATTGAGAAAGAGCCTCCGTGTTAGGATTGGTTGCGTAGGATTAGGCTTTGCCCAATTTGTTCCATTGAGTTGGCACCACATGCCTTCCTTCAGCCTTTGAATTTTTGTGATTTTGACCTCTTGGTTAAAAATACAAGTTTTGTTAGATTACTGGTAAGGATTTGCTACCCATTTAACTTAACCCTGGGGAATGATGATAATCTTGTAGAAGCAGATAAAAATAGAGAATGTTCGTACAAACCTAAATAAGCTAGTCTTCTTATCAACAAGTCATTTAAAAAGATGGCTATCAATACTGTAAAGTAGAAAATATGCATCTCATAATATTAAATAAAAATATGCCAAGCACTCAGGATACAAAATTGCATACATGCTAAAATTACAATTTTGTGAAACAGCTATACAGGAAAATAACAGGAAAGAACTCTGCTAGAATAAAACGATGGCTGTATTAGCATGCTGGGTCATGGCCATTTTCTTTTTTTCTTTCTTCCCCACCCCTTACTTTTTCTGCTGGGGCTGATTACCTTCATAATGGGGGGAGGGGATTAACATGCTTTCAGTTGTTAGACTTCGTTCCTCAAAATAGCGGTGGTTATATTTCATAAATCCTCTACCATCCTGTTTCTTACTAGAAACGGCCGTACTCGTCTTTGAAAGGCCATCGCAACTGATTGCTTTTTAGTGATCTTCATTTGCAGGGTAGTTAAATCTATCTGCATTTTAGAGCGTTGAAATGATTGTAATTAGACCAATTCAGTACAGAAGCAGTTACCTATGTTGAACTTCCTGCCTCTACTAGTCTGTTTTTCATTTTCACTATCATCAACACGCATCTATTAAGTGGTCCCCTGTATGTTTCAGGCAGCAGCTTAAATGCCATTTGTAGATACTATAACCAGGTGGGCAAGAAGCCTGGGATGAAGTGGAGCACCATTGACAGGTGGCCCACGCACCCGCTCCTCATTCAGGTAAGGTGGCACTGGCCGCAGCCCGCTCTGCTCAGCTTCTGGGGTGGGTCAGGTTCTTGTCCCTGCCTACTGTGTGATGTCCTTACAAGCCGTATTGTTCTCTTGCTTAAATTGTGTGCTGGGGGGAAAAAAAAGTATTAGAGACTCGACTTGTTATGACAAGAGAAAATAAATTTGAAGATTAAAGGTTAGAGTCTCCTTTCTTCGGATTAACAGTGTTAGTTACAAGCTAGAGCAGAATTATGTTTTCAGTTTCGTGTTTCCCAATAACCAGGACATGAAAGATTATACAAAGTGTTTCCATTAATTTACATTTATATATTGAATGACTGACAGATCCTATATTTTCTAAATCCTTTAAAATGACAAAAGGTTTTAAAATTCAAGGTACTAAATCTAAATGTTCTGACATGAGAATAGATTTAACATTTCTGGGGCGCCTGGGTGGCTCAGTGGGTTAAAGCCTCTGCCTTCGGCTCAGGTCATGATCCCAGGTTCCTGGGATCGAGCCCCGAATTGGGCTCTCTGCTTGGCAGGGAGCCTGCTTCCCGCTCTCTCTCTCTGCCTACTTGTGATCTCTGTCAAATAAATAAATAAAATCTTAAAAAAAAAAAGAAAATAGATTTAACATTTCAGTTGAGAAAGTCATATTAGAAGAAATTTCAGATTTCTCCCATAGAGTTGTAATATTTTCATGAACAGATGCTTGGTTTTTGGAGAATCAATTAAAACTACAATTTGAAAGCCAGTAGCTTTGAATTGGTGTTACTATTTATTTTTTTTGCCATTTGTACTTGAGAGTAGTATCGGTAATTGCCCTAAAATGTACAAATATAGTCTTCTTCTGTCAGAGGAGATTTCTGCCTTTGAGTTAGTCTAGGTAGGAGACATACGAAGTGATTTAGGTTTCATCCACTTTGTGTTTCACTCTGTGGACATTTCTCTGGCAAAACAGTCCGGAGGCCCTTAAAAGCTCACACCACTAGGTGGGGCCAGACGTCGGTAAATACGGGCCCGCTCTCCCCTGCAGCAGGCCCTGATCCTTAGGCACAGAGGTGATGTCAAGGGTTAACACTTAGGTGGAAAACAGTTTTAAGTAAAAGTGATAAGGAGGTGCCTTCCCTCAGGGATGGGTGTAGTTCTGCTTTGAGGGCCCCCCACCCCTTTGCTGTACCGCTGGGCGGAAAGCCCAGCCTGCCCCTCCCAGTTTGCTCTGGGCAGCCTGCGACTGGGAGCGAGGGCTTTCGGGTCAGCACTGACATGTGGTAGCAGAGAGCGGAGGGGTCTGCACAGCATCTGCCTGCCCTGATCCACCGAGCAATTAGGTTTGCATTAAAATTCAGCCCTTTGAAAAGGGGGAAGCAGAAAGACGGAAAGGTTTCTTAACTGAGGAAGTCTCCGCTCACAAAATGAAAGGGAATTTTCGGGGCATTTATCTGCCCTTCTAGATGGTGTGATTGAAAGCTCTAAGAGCCGCCTGCCTCCTCCATTCCGCAGTGAGATTGCGCGTGGAGGACACCGCAGATGGATGATGGTGATCTAAGCAGCCTCCTCCTGGCCCCTGGCTCCTCGGTGTAGACTATGGCTTAGCGTCTGTTGCAAGCCGGAACAAATTGTGTTTCTGCTCACTCTTTTGTTAGAAGAGAAAACGAAAAATGCTAACATTTTTTAGAAGCAAAAGTTTATAGATAGGTTTTATGCTTCATGTCACGGAGCTGACAGGAGATTTGATATCTAGCAGAGATTTTTTTAAAAAACAAGTCAAACCCTAATCGGAAACTAAAAATACAGTTAAAAACGAACACTGAAAATAACACCTTACTCTACATTTCTACTTGTTTTAGGTAGTAATTACTTGAAATTGTCATTCCTCTACTGTCATCCCTAATAGCGCTGTGTGGTGAGCTGCCGGGGTAAAAGGAGTAAACATAGCTTCAGGTTCAGACTCCCATGTAGGCTTCGCAGTGGGTCTCCTTCCCTGGGCTGCTGTCCGTCCAAACACAGTCCTTCCTGAGCATCCTTTGTTTCTAGGCACAGCAAGACCACCAGAAAATACTGTTTTTTTTGTTTTTTTTTTAAATCTATATCTAATCTAATCATATTTACTCTGTAGATAAAGTATAAATTTTGAAAAGGAAAGTCTCTGGGCACCAACTTGTACCTTCATGCATTTCTTCACCAAATTTGGAGGGGTTGGAGAGATTAGTAATATCTCAGTGCTGATTAGGGAATTATTTGCTCCTCTTATAGTATCAACCACTGATTTATCAAAATACCAACAAGCGCAAAGGTACGTGGTTCTGGTAAATCATCCTTTATGATTTTTCAAAAACCTTTCTATTTGGAAGTAAGTTTTTTTTTTTTTTTAAGATTTTATTTATTTATTTGACAGAGATCACAAGTAAGCAGAGAGGCAGGCAGAGAGAGAGAGAGAGGAGGAAGCGGGCTCCCTGCTGAGCAGAGAGCCCAATGTGGGGCTCGATCCCAGGACTCTGGGATCATGACCTGAGCCGAAGGCAGAGGCTTTAACCCACTGAGCCACCCAGGCGCCCCTGGAAGTAAGTTTAAACATGCAGAAAAGTCCCAAGACTAAGAATAGTGCAGGGACTAGACTCTTTGCCTAGATTCACAGATTACTAGCATTTATTCCGCTCCGTCATTGGTACCCTCTGTACGAGTGTGTGCATACAGTTTTCTTCTGAACCTTTTGAGAGTAAGTTGTCTCTGTAAAACCACCCTTGACACCTAAGTAGCAAGGACCTTCTCCTCCATAACCATGATCCAGTATTCAACCTCAGTAAATTTACCATCGATACTTAAATTCATCTGATCTACATTCATATTCCGATTCTGTCAATTGACCCATTAATGTCCTTCGTAGCATTTGCTTTCTGAGTTAAGTGACGAAGAATGATTAAAGTAGAAGATGAAAGAAAGCCTCTTCACATCGGGCGTTTCAGCACCTATTGATGTAGATCGGAAAGTGCCAACTAGACGAGGGAATTAACGGGTCTGGTGGACAGAGCTTTGGAGGCAGAGGCGGGGCCTGCCTGGCAGCCCGGGTCCCGCAGATGTGACTGAATGGACCCCAGGCCGGCCGCCTCTTCCCCCCTCTGTGAATTTAATGAGAGTTGGACAACCTCTCATCTGTTGTTATGAAGGTTGTTACGAAGACTGGCTGAGGGAGAATACTGGGCTCAGAAAGAGAAGGTTGTAAAAATAGAATAGTATTTTCTTATTCCTCTCCTATTTGTGTCTAATGTATTTTAATGTCATAAGCCTGAAAGCCAAACTGAGGATGATTTAGAAAGAGCCTGTAAGCTGTTTTCCTGCTAACCGAGCAAATGAGAGGTCTTAAAACAACTTCTCCTTCCCATCTGTGTCTTCTTTCCATCTGGAAGTGTGCCCTGTTCCTCCCGAGGGGAAGCAGATCCAGAGCGCTCATTTTCAGTGAGCCATTAGCGAGCTTCAGAAGTTTCCCATCAAATTCCCTAGGCCCCTGAAACTGTTATGAGCCATTTTCATGATGAACCAAAGCGAGAAGAGGCTGTACTGTTTGCAATTTTTTAAAAAGAGAGTTCCAGTTTTTGAGGGTTGCCAGGAGATTTTTGTCATAGCTCTCATTCTAAACATATTTTCTTTTCCTTCTATTTTGTTCTTCCCACCTCCTTCTCATCCTCCTTTCTTACTGTCCCCACAGTGCTTTGCAGACCATATAGTGAAAGAACTGGACCATTTTCCACTTGAGAAGAGAAGTGAGGTGGTCATTCTGTTTTCAGCTCACTCCCTGCCGATGTCTGTAAGTAAGAGCGTTTTGTCGGATGACTGGTAGAGGATTTCTGAATGTGCAAACGGGACCCAGCTTCTCAAACATCCTGAGCCCAGTACAAGGATGAGTTCTAACATCTCAGACTTACCTAGGTGCTCATTTTAACTAGACTCCTTTCTTGAAACCCAATTATAATTAATTCAAATTATAATATTGTGAATAGGTATTGTCCTAATAACCCCCTTTGAAATGATAACTGGAAGATGTATTCATGAGTAGGGATTTTCAGTACATGGGGCAGGTAGAGGAAGGCTGCTTTTGCCTGCCCCACTGAAGGAGCTCATCTGATGTCAGGGTCAGTGTCAAGCACTGAGGGCCTCTAGTCACACTGAACTATCTTAGGTCTCATTCTTTTGTCAAGACTGGGTAGGGGCTATTTGAATTCCAGGAAGTGATTACAGTTTTTAATCTGCTAGGACTAGAGCCCACATTTTGGCAAGTGAATACGGAGTTATCTTATTAGGATCTGGTTGCTCCTGAGTTTTTCACGTTATGCTGGGTATTCGCTAAAATACCACCTCCACGCGCCCTCCTCGTTGCGCATGTGCAAACGAGAATGATCGAGCTAGTGTGCTGGGTGGTACAGAGATGTGCATGGAATGAGCAGCCAGTTTCATCAGCTCAGAGCTATCATCGGGCCCCAAAACAGTGCTTTTGAACCAGAGAGGTGGAGAATGAGGTCTTCGGAGGTGCCATTTAGGGCTTGACTCCAGAGTTAATGCAGTTAACCTGAGTGTCTGGTGCCACTCTTCTAATCAGTCTTTACTGCCACCTGCTGGTCCCTGGGGTCGAGCCCTTACCGCTTTTCCACTCCGCCATCTCCACCCAGCCGGGGCGGGTTCAGCTATAGGTGGCTCGGGAGAGAAATTTCTCTCTTCTGGAAGCCTGCCTATTTTATTTTCACAAGTTCATAGTCTCTCTTCTGGTGTCATGCAAATCCTCTTCAAATGTGCGTCCCGCTGCTCTGGCCGCTTCCTTTTCGTAACCGAGCTAGGTGTGATGAGGCCACGTCCGAAGGGGGAGCTCTTGAACCCGGAGCGGAGTTAACACATTTTTCTACGTGAACGATTCCAGGTGCGGCCTGCCCTTCCCTCACCTCCCGCCGCACTTCCCTTTCCTTCCTCAGGGACCGAGCGTGCTGCTGCCAGCCTTCTTTGCCGCCCAGGGCCCCTGTGGGACTGAGGAGTGGGGAAAGACAAGGGAATGTGAAGGGAGAAGTCTGTTCGGGGGGGCTTTTCTTTTCCCCCGGGCTTGCTTCTAATGACTTTTTCCTCCTTCATGACTTTTTAAAGACTCATTATTTGGAAGTAATTTTAGACTTTAGGCAAAGTTGCAAAAACAGTACAGAGCATAGTGTAGCATGCATATATACCCTCCCTGTACGTCCCCTCCTGCTGACATGTCCATAACCATAGGTCGGTGACCCAAACCAGGAAGGTAACAGCGGTGCAGTGCCATGAGCCAAGGCCAGGTGGATCAGATTTCACCACTTCTTCCACAATGGTCCTTTTTTGTTCTGGGATCCAGTCCGGCATCCCATGTCACATTTCGTTGGCACATCTCAGTATCCCCCAATCTGTGACAGTCCTCATGTTTTCCCTGTCTGATCGTGACCTTTATACTTTTGAAGAATGATTTAGTGGAACGTCAGTCATTTCACAGCATGCTCCTGCACTTGGATCTGTCTGCTCTTTCCCCGTGATTCGACTGAGGCTCTATAGTATTGGGAAGAACATTCCAGGTTGCTCTGTCCTCAGTGCATGGTGTGGGGGTACATGATGACAGACATCCTACCACTGGCGATGTCATCCTCGGCCATTTGTGTAAGGTAGTGTCTGCTGGATTTCTGTGTTGTAAGATTTCTGTTTTTCTCCTTGTAATTTCAAATATCTTAGGTGACATGCTCTGAGACTACGTAAATGTCTCCTTGTTCCTTGACTTTTGCCCACTAATTTTAGCACGCTCCAGTAGATCTTGCCTGGAGCAGTTATTTCTGTGCTCTTCTAATGGCGACTTTTCTATTTCCCTCCTTCATTCTGTATTTAGGTTTCTAATGGTTTTTAAACTAACTTTTAGTAATATCATAAAATAGTTTATCAGTATTTCATTTCAACAATATTTATTGAGCACTATTCTATCCACTGTATTCTAAGCACTGTTCCTTCCACTGTCATAGGATATAGGAATGAACAAAATAGGTAGAAGTCATCCCCCCCCAGAGAGCAGGGGTGGGGGACAGATAATAAACATAGTACAGAAGAAAATAGTTCGGTATATTAGGAGGTAATAAGTGGTATGGGAAGCAATCAAGCCATACAAGGGGTTAGGGTGCCTGTACACAGCTAAATGTTAAAGCAGTAAAAATAAAATTCCTGGTGAACATTTTAAAGAGTATTAACACGCTGCTGTGTCAGGACCAGTCAGACATTCACAGTGCACAGAGCGCTCAACTTGCTGTCTGTTGCTGTGGGGCACATGGGGAGACTAAAGGGATTAGAAGGCGCAGGTGGTATTCTCGAGGAGTCTGGAGTCTGAACCCCCGTGCTGCTTCTCCCCTCTGTCTTACTTCAGCAGCACTTGCTCCTGTGTTGACTGGCCCCATGGATTCAGTAGGTCCATACGCCATCCATACAACACTTGCAATCCTGCCTTCCCTACTTCAGATGTGGGAATGGAGAGACTCATCCTCCCATGAATAACACAGATGTAGAATTTGGCATATTCCTAGGTACTTAGAGATGCGTGAGTACACTGTTCTCCTTTGGGCTCTGAAGACATAGATCCAAGGAGAGTTTGGTGAATGAGCTCAGATTGCATCATCATTAGTGCAGAAGACAAAAGGGGGGACTCTGGTCACTGGATCACAGCACCTCACAGCACAACCTGAGGCTCTTAGAACCCTTCATTGTGTTGGCGACTGAACACTCGTGTGTCTCCGCTGCAGGTGGTCAACAGAGGGGACCCCTATCCTCAGGAGGTGGGAGCCACTGTGCAGAGAGTCATGGATAAGCTGGATTACTCCAACCCCTACCGACTGGTGTGGCAGTCTAAGGTAGGTGGTTTCCATATGCTTGAGGGCAGTCAGCAATTCCAAGGACGTCTATTTTAGGACTTAGTTATAAAATGATTCAGTTTGGCTCTTTCATATACACAGAATGTTCTTTAACTTGATGGCTCACTATAAGTAGTGGAACTCTGCAAGCAGGACAAGAAATGGACAAGAAATCAAGTGACTAGTTGAATTTCATTGATTTAATGTATTATTTTTTGTTGTAATGACAGAAATTGTGACTTATTTATATTATGCCAACTTCGAGAAGGATTCAAACTTAATACAGAAATACTGAAAGCCACTAACATAGATGTAAAGTGTGGCCCTCGCTCTTACCAGGAGGGGTGTGTGTATGTGTGTGTCCAGGGCAGTAGGCTGTGGTGTGCCACAGACACAGGGAGAAGTGGGTCCCTGTGTGCCTTCCATTCTCCTTTCTCACAGGTTGGTCCGATGCCCTGGCTGGGCCCTCAAACAGATGAGACTATCAGAGGGCTTTGTGAGAGGGGAAGGAAGAACATTCTTTTGGTTCCAATAGCATTTACCAGCGATCACATTGAAACGCTCTATGAACTGGACATCGAGTACTCTCAAATTCTAGCTAAACAGGTGAGTGTGATTATTAAGCCCATTCACGAACTGTGATTTGTTTTGAAAGGAAACTGTGCAACGATATAATTGTATCATTTAAAAGTATTGCTCAGTGGTTAGCAGAGGGGAGGTGGGTGGGGCATGAGGGAAGTAGGAGGAGGGGTTCAGAGCACAGCCTGTCTTGATGAGCACTGAGTAACATGCAGAACTGTTGAATCACTATATTGTATATCTGAAACTAGAACACAGTGTGTTAACTACACTGGAAAAAAAAATTTCATTACATTGTTTGCTACAACTTTTGCATGTACCGTGGCCTCCTAATTCTGGGTAACACTTAGCCTGAGTTCGTCTGCACACATCAGGGTAATTCCGTGTCAGCCCAGCGGTAGGGAAGCCCTTTTGTTCCTGTGTGAAACCTGGTTCGCAGGCATTACTGACAGCAACATCGTTTTGTCCAGTGTGAGTCATTGTACTACCTGGAAGTGATAAACTACATTTTCTTTAGAAAAAAATAATTGTTCTTCTCACCAGTTTGGAGGGAAAGAATTGTCTTGTGTTATCATTCCTTTTCTTGGCCTGATGGCGCCTTTTACTTGGGGCTTTTACATGGGTTCTTGGTGGGTTTTGAGGCATAGAAGAGTCCTTGTCATTTAGGAGAAGACCGTGGAATGAACAGCGAAGCAGTGTGTGTTCTAATTCCCTTGACCTCTTCCGTACACTCACTTAATTAGCTGTTTGCGGCGGTGTTGTGATCAATCTGATTGTTGAAATAACAAATACCATCCTTAGTGTCTTGTAATCTAAGATGGATGTGAGTTATCATCCACAGCAGAGAAAAACTTACTGTTCTCCTACCTCACAGCTTTCGAGGGCCGGCCTGAAACCTGAGTCCAGTTTATAGCATTGTTTCTGTGGGGAATGGTGGTAACTCTGGGACCCAGGAAATGCTTCCCCCTCTCATCTTCTGCCAGAACTGATCCTGGTCCTTCCCATGCGTGATTGATGGAGGCCCGGCCTCAAAGGATACTTCACCCTCTCCGGGACTGGGTGGCAGGTGCAGGGCAGGGTGAGAGTGGGTTGGGGACAGCTTTAGCCAGCACCCAGCCCCACAGGTTTGTGATTATGCAATGTGTGCTGGTCATCAATCAAACGCTGAGAAGTTAGAGGGTGCGTAAATTGCTTGTCAATAGTTCTGATACAGATTTTATGGTGAAGTTGTAATTGGCTAAAGTGAGGTTGCAGGGTTGTCTGCGGATTTCATATAATGGTGCCTTCCATATCCCACCCTGACCTTGACTAACTGTGAACTTGCTAAAAAGAGACATGCAAATATAGGTCATTCCAGTGTGTTTGGAAAGTAAGTTTTGTTTGTGTTGAATGATAATTCACATTCATTAATATCACTAAACCGAGGTTATTCCTCAGTAATCAAATGGATTATTAGTGACCAATAAATTAGACCATAGAGAGAATAAAGAAAACCATCTAGCTACAGTTTATTTCATTGTTTTGTTGGGAGAATAGACTGTGTTTAAAACGAGTTTCTTTAAAAAATAGTTTGGAGTTTTTCTTAAGATGAAATGATTGCTTTTTGGTAATACAAATAATAAAGAGCTCAGACAATTCAGAGAAGTATTGCATAGAGAGTAGAGTGCATTCAGAATCTTACCCCTGAGAAGGGCACCTGGGTGGCTCAATCTGTTGGGTGTCTGACTCTTGATTTTGGCTCAGGTCCTGATCTCAGGGTTTGAGATTGGGCTCTGCACTGAGTGTGGAGCCTGCTTAGGATTCTCTCCCTCCCCCTCCCCATCCACTGTCTCTCTCTCTCCCTCTCTCTTTTAAAGATTTCATTTATTTATTTGACAGAGAGAGAGAGCAGGCAGTAAACAGAGTAAACAGAGTGGCAGGCAGAGGGAGAGGGAAAAGCAGGCTCCCTGCTGAGCAAGGAGCCTGATGCAGGGCTCCATCCCGGGATCCTGGAATCATGACCTGAGCCGAAGGCAGCCGCTTAACCAACTTAGCCACCCAGGCGACCCCCCACCTTTAAAAAAAAAAAATCTTACCCTGAGAGATGTTAATATTAAAATAAAAATAAGTTCCCTTTTTCTCCGAATATTTATGAATAAAATACCATTTTTGCATGGTATTTTATTCATACTGTTTTGTAACCTTTTTTTCCCCTTAAAAATATATTATATGGACCTAAATCAATAAATGTAATTAGATCTACATAATTATTTTAAATGAATCCTTGATCAATATATATTTAAGATATTTCCAACTTTTTACTTTCCTAAACTGCTCTGTAATAAACATCATTTTCTTTTTTTTCTATTTATTCTCTTAGGAAGAATTCCTAGAAATGGAATTTAAATGTTGATAGATGTTTTACTGGATTGCCCTACAGAGTTGTGTCCTTTGACTCTCCCAACCAGAGTGTTCAAGAACACTGCCAGCATTGGTTGTCTTGTTGTCACTGACTTCCACATGGAGTTTTAGTATATAGTCTCCTTTTTTCCTTTTATCTTTTTAAAAAGATATATTTTTTATTTGATGGAGTTTGCAAGCATGCTCACATGCGTGCAGGGGGGCGGCGGGGGCAGGAGGGAAAAGGGAGGAGAGAGAGAGAGAGCGACTTTTGAGCAAACGCCCTGCTGAGCATGGAGCCTGATATGGGGCTTGGTCTCAAGACCCTGAGATCATGACCTGAGCCAAAATCAAGAGTTGGTCGCTTAACCAACTGAGTCACCCAAGCACTGTGAATACAGTTTCTTTTTGGGTTGAGAACTATGTGTTTGCTGAATCACCATTTTTCACATGCTGGTTAAAGTTAATTTAAAAGATGAAACAACTGAAAAGCCATCGCAGCATTTCGGAAAGGGAAAGAGAAGATTTTGACTACCTGAGTGAACAATAATTAGATGTTTCTTAATTATTTGGGGGATAATCAACTGGGTATTTTGGAGGGAAGCAAGGATGATAGTAAAACAGTCCTCGGGTTTTATTTTGGGTTTTTCTATGTAAGAATATATTTAAAAACCCCAATGTGCATTGGAACCCATCTAGATTCAATATACCTTAAATTAATCTACCTCTTTTGGCACTTAGAATCAAAACAGGCATAAAGATTTTTTAATTAAAGCAACATTCTGCTTAGGTAGAGCCTGTCAAAGTGTGTATTAGAAAGGTAGAATAAAAAAAGAACAGTAAGCAGATTTGAGTTCCTTGAGAATTCTGTCAAATACAGCCTCAGAAAACGGTTTAGAAACTGAGCACCTATGGGGAAGGTAGTCGGGTGGGGGAAGGAATAGGAATTGAGAGCAGTTTTATGATAACAGAGGTGAAAATCTACATCTGTGTCTGGGCCCGAGACTGTTTTCATTTCTGAGCCGTCTGGGAACACTTTGGAAGTCAGGCTTTTAAGTTGTGTATGCATCTAAGTCCATTTATTTATTTATTTTTTTGTAGTGGTTTCTTTTTTAAAAAAAAAAAAAAAAGGAAAATAAAACGTGTATGTGTTTTTCCTTCTTTTTCTCATTTGATTCAGTGTGGAGTTGAAAACATCAGAAGAGCAGAGTCTCTTAATGGAAATCCATTGTTCTCCAAGGTATCTATAGTGTTACAACCATTTTAGTAGAACATATCGGAGAGAAATCCTCTGAGAAACTCTTACAGAATATTGGTTTTCTCACATATTAGAACATTTTGAGTTCCAATTAATTACAAAAATAAAATCGAATTCCTTATACTCTTGCTCCTTTTTCCTTTATATAGCCCCAATTTTCTTACTTCTCCCGTCTATAACTATGACGGATTTAAGACCTGCCTTCCAGAGGCAGGGTTTAGCAGGTAGGGTAAGAGGATGTCTTCTAAAATTTCTATTTTAACTTTACTCTAAGCCGAGGGTCCTTAAGAAATGAAGATGTTAGAGAATCCAGTTCAAAGCAGTCATAATTCACATAAAAAAGCAACCCTCAGCCATAGTGATTATTGGGGCAGATGGGAGGGGGAGGTGCGCAGGGACACAGCAGACGCTTTGCTTCTGAGGAATCTCTGCTTCTTGTCGCCCGTCTTCCAGGCCTTGGCCGATCTGGTGCTCTCACACATCCAGTCAAATGAGCTGTGCTCCAAGCAGTTGACTCTGAGTTGTCCGCTCTGTGTAAATCCTGTCTGCAGGGAGACTAAATCCTTCTTCACCAGCCAGCAGCTGTGACCCCCCGCCAGAGGACCCCGTGGGATTAGGCAAATGCCCAACCCCCAGATGCCCCTGTTGCGGAGGAGATGTATTTAGAGGTCAAGAAAGAAAGTTACACTGGTATCTGTACAGCCCTCGGGCACAAATTGTGTGATTTCTTGAAGAACAGACTCTGAAATCCTTATTGGGGTTTTCTATTTTTGAATGCCAGTACAGTAAGCATTTATAGTCCCCCTCTGTGGGTAGAGTTACCAGTTTGGAATGTCCACTAGGCTATTTAAAAAATGAGTTTTAAAAATTTATCTGAATAGATGCACACATATTTTAAATAAAGATTTTGGTTTTATTGCCCCAAACCCCTGCAAGGATAGCTGTGGGCTGTCAGCGTGCATGAGCTCTGTTTCCAGGCTCGTGCAAATAGTTGGTGGTCCTTGTTTTTGAAGGGAACGTAGTTGAGCAAAGGAAATATAATTTGAAAAGGAACTGTTTCCTGGCCTTTCCCTAAGCCTGTGGGGCCCAGAGTGCCTCTGAGGTGGCGTGGTTGCCTATAATGGCTGTTCCTGCCAGTGATGTCTCAATTCGTTTGTCATTTGGGGACTTAACGTGTGAACCTCACTTTCTTCACCCTAAAACCAAATCAAGTACAGATTCTGGAAGCGCTTTAAGATTCCCCAGGTACACAAGGCTGATAGACATATAGAAATCCAGCGTTTGTCATCTGTGCTCTGTGGTGCCACCAACAGGAAAGGGGGGCTCCCCCTGCTTCTTGTCCCCAGGGCTGGTGAGGCCGGGAAATGCTCACGACGGGCTTCAGCTGTAAAGCTTGTCCCAGGACCGAGTGAAGCTTTCTGTGGGACATCTTCATTTTGGTTGAATGTCTTCTTTCTGCCTACTTGTTTGAAGCATTATTTTACAAAGTTAGCTATGTTTTGTAATCTTGAATTCTTTCTTAACTTACAATTTTTATTATAAAATTATATAACCCTCCCACTAGAACTTTGAAAAGTAGAGAAAAGAGAAATAACCACTCTAATGCAACAGCCATTAATCATGTTGTTATATCTCATGCCATTCCTTTCCTGTGGATATTTTTAATGCTACTGTAACCTTGAATTTATGAGTGAAAAGTTGTTCTAAAAATGTGGAAATAATGTAAGATCAAAATCTGATCTCCTATACCTGGATTTAAATGGATTAAAAAAATCTCTGATGGATCCGTAATGAATTTGTAATGATTACCTTCTCTTTCCTCCAAGCTGTAAAACTTTGTTCTTCAAAAGAGCATGTCTTTGATGTTTTTAAAGCCAGTTCTTAAACTGAAGTGTTAGAGGAGTGATAGATCTTCTATATTCGGGATTTACTATATTAATAAATATTATCACATCATTAGGGTTTTAACAACTTGATCCGTGCTCTCTGTGAAATCAAAACTAATGCAAGTTAGTTAATAATCAAAATTATTAAATAGGAGGAATTTACTTTGGAATACAAGAAAGGGAACATGCCGTCCATTTTAGTTAATAATTTTCCCACACTGATAACAGCTCTGAAGTTTGAGTAACAGGTGCATTTTTTTCCAAATTTGTTTTCCTGTTATTAGATTGTGTTTCCAGAGAAAGGTGCAAGGCATGGATAGTCGGCTGTTTCCATCAGTTTGGGGGGATTAACTTCAAGGTAGACCAGGTGACTGTCGCGTGGTGGAGTGAATGCTCTGGGTCAGTGGGATGGCCCTGGAAGGCAGGATATGCTCAGAGCCCTTCTCCCTGCAGCACATCTGCTAAGGGCCTGCTTCACTTTGATTGTATTATGCAGATGTTACAGAAAACTCCAATTCAGGAGTCTTCTTCTTCTTCTTTTTTTTTTTAAAGATTTTATTTATTTATTTATTTGACAGAGACACAGTGAAAGAGGGAGCACAAGCAGTGGGAGTGGGAGGGGGAGAAGCAGGCTTCTCCGGAGCAGGGAGCACAATGTAGGGCTTGATTCCAGGACCCTGGGGAATCATGACCTGAGCCGAAGGCTGATGCTTGACCAGACTGAACCACCCAGGCACCTGCAATTCAGGAGTCTTGCTAGGATATCTGAAAACCCTCATTTGCTAAGGAAACCTGTCAATCCACAGTGACTGGGCTGTCTGAAATAATATCCTTGACTGTGAGCGGGACGAGACGGGCCCTTGTAGTGAGGCCAAGGGTGTTACTGGGATCTGTGTTCATGGCATGGGTTGTCCTGAGCAGGATTACCTGGGACTGTTCTTCACCAAAGACGCAGAAGGGTTGCACTCGAGGGGGCACGTGGTAGGACAAAATCCACGACTGTTCTTTTTTTTTTTTTAATTTTTTTTAAGATTTTATTTATTTATTTGACAGAGATCACAAGTAGGCAGAGAGGCAGGCGGGGTGGGGGGGGGGGGAAGCAGGCTCCCTGCTGAGCAGAGAGCCCCATGTGGGGCTCGATTCTAGAACCCTGGGATCATGACCTGAGCTGGAGGCAGAGGCTTTAACCCACTGAGCCACCCAGGCGCCCCCACGACTGCTCTTCTCAGTGATGCTCTGTGTTGACTTTGAAGTCTCCATGTTTGCCCTGGTAATTCATTAGCTAGTGTGCTGTGGGCAGCGCCTTCTTGGGAACAGACCTGGCTCCACCTGATGCATCAACCCGCACAGGGGACTTTCGGGCGCTGTGGCCAGGAGGCGGTGCAGCCTCCCGGGGTCCTTGGAAGGCTCAGCTCCCTGGACAGACAGCACAGAAGGACGGAACGCTCCTAAAGGATCTGCCTTCTGGAACTACTTAACCTTTTTTAAATTTAAAGAAATGTTTACACTCAATGAAGATTCAGTCTGCTTGAGGAGAAATGAAACTCCTTATTAAAAGCCCTATAAATGTCTCTCAGTGACTCGTTGGTGCTGACCGCAGAGGGAGCCCTCATGACTTCCTGAGAGTACCTCAGAGGACTCATCCTCGCTCAGTAACCCCAGGGACAGAACGTTACATTTCTCAAGGATTCTGTTAAATTTTTCTCTACGACTGAAATTATTGAGACAGGGATGGCCATGTAGATAGGAAGAGAAGGGGGATTTTCCGCTCCACGTTGCCCAAATTAAGCCCATCAGAAGTGACCTCAGATCCACAATCCTAAAGTCATTGTAGGTCATTTTACATGTTCAGCTGATCTTGAAAATAGATTAATTTATCTTTGAGGAAAATACACTGATTTGGTGGGATGAGGTTCTTAGAATAAAGTTGTTGCATTTTGTTTTTTCCCCTTGGCCAAGCTGTTCTCATAAATTGGGCATTTAATCCAGGAAACTCTAAGGTATGGAAGAGAGGCCATTTGCTCAATCAGGTGACGCTGTGTTTCTTCAATGTATGTCACCAAACCAAGACGGTCTCACCAGCAGGTGAGGAACAGAATCAGGAATCACCCAGAATCAGGAACCACATGGGCCGACGGTCCTAGAACTCCCCTGTGTTCATTCCTCCCTCCTGGGGGTCGAAGGTCATGGGGGAAGGGGCCAGCTGGTGTAGCTAGAGCTGGGAGGAGCAGTTGAAGCTGGCGGCCAGAGCGAGAACTCAATGTCTGTGTGTGCCCACGTGTGGACGCAGGTGCATTAAGCTGGGGGCCTTTAGTACCTTGACTCTAAGCTCTTAACCTCGCCTGAGAAACCCCTTCTGTCGGAATCCTGAAGACGGCACAGGAACATACGTCCCAACACTGGATGGAAATGGACAATCTGTTGAGATGTCACAAGGCAGAAAAGCAAGTTTGGAGCTGTTGCTAAAACTAGTGCCCTGAATTAAAATCATTCAGTTTCTTAGTCTCAATAGCAATATGGGGAATCCTCAGAGGAAGACAAAAGCTAACCATTCCTTTTATGACTTCTAAAAATTATAAAATTCAAAACATGTCATCACGGTCATGTCCCAGAAAGGCTTTGTAAATATTAGGAGTTTAGTTCTCATTGCCTAATAATTGAGATTCCTTCATAACGAGTCACTTCAGTAGCTTCTCAGTCCAGGTGTGGCTTTTTGGCTGCATTTATATTATATATATTATTTATATTATATTTCACTTTATAGAAACTAGTGTCATAAGGTTTCAGAGTCCATACATCCAGTGGATTGAATCTGAATTAGGAAACCTGCCTTATGCTTGAATCGTTGCCAGTTAAAGTATTTAGTCATGCCGTAATGGTGTTCAGGCGCTTCCCTAACTAGAATTCCTGGTTACTTTACACGGTGGCACCTGAAAACTTCTGACTTTTGTTTTTTGCTAGATTTCTTCCAGCTGGACAGTTGTGTGTTGTGACTACTGTCTGATCTTTGCCTTAATGTTGTGCCTCTTTTCAAAATCCACTTACTTTGGAAAGGATAAGTGTGCTGAATTAGACAACACCCAGCTGAGCTGTGGGGACCGGTGGGTGCTGGAGAGGAATAAGGTGATGTCGTCCGTGTTTGCCCCATGGACCTAACACGACCGCAGGAGTGCCTGGTGCAGGAGCTGAGTCTTCCAGGAGCTCTGGGGGGTAGATGCCCCTAGAGAACACATTCGTAACCTAGGTCCCTGGGGAGGAAGACAGCCTTTTGCTCTTGCTGTGGGAATCTTATTAAGCTTCTCTACAGGAAGAAGGATGTGGAAAACCAATGCAGCCAGTGATCATTGGTTTCTTACGATATACTCTGATAGTACTGGCTTGGTTGTTTTTAGCTGAAATCATTAGCTTCCATTTTTAGTAGAACAGACTACTGGCCAAATTAGCCTATAGTAAGCCATTAAGATGGATGTTAGAATTAAAAACATTTTTGGAAAAAAGCCTGTTTTGAGCCTTTGTTTGAATCCTTTGGGCAGGAATCGGGTCCTGTTTCTGGTTGCTTGAGAGCTGTCACTCTGACATTCCACGCTTGCTCCTCCTGGTATGGGAAGGCACGGGTCAACCTTTCTGCCGGCTGTCTCCCCTGTGGGTCAAAGCTTTACTTGCCTGACAGGTTAAGAAGCAATAGACTGAGAATTCATGAAGTCTTTTCCTTGGGGGGGGGATATATATAACATATATATTTAATATAGATATATATTTATATATAAATACATATAATATATAAATAATATATAGAAATATATAAATAATATATATATATATAGAATTGACCGCACAGACATATAAGCCAGGGTGTGCAGGTCGATTGTTAAAATGTCTATTAAACAGCAGTTGTTAAAAATTCTCTATCTTAAATTATATGAAAACCAAAAGTAGCAAATATTCAAAATTCATCACATCTCAATTCTTTGACTCCATTTAAAAAAATATATTTTATTTATTTGACAGAGATCACAAGTAGGCAGAGAGGCAGGTGGGAGGAGGATGTAGCAGGCTCCCCACTGAGCAGAGAGCCCGATGCGGGGCTTGATCCCTGGACTCCGAGATCATGACTTGAGTGGAAGGCAGAGGCTTAACCCACTGAGCCACCCAGGTGCCCCTTTTACTCCATTTTATTATGGTTGTTGTAGTGCTCATTTACATTTATTGTGCTATCTGTGGAAACAGTATCTATGACGAGTTACCTTGCCTCTTTCCAAGTCAGTGCAGTGACATCATGGTAGCTTGCAGTGGGCTGAGATGGGGGCTATGTACACTGTTGGAATCAGCAAATACTATAAATTAGGACTTGACTATTTTGTTGATTATCTAGACTTAAGAAAGTGACAGAAAAAATATCAGTAATGCAAAAGAAAAGTTGTCATCTGTAGCCATTACATTGTGAATAGTGCAAAAACTTGAAATACCCTTCCATTATTTGAAAACTATTATCCGAAGGATCCAAATGAAGTTTCAGCATCCAAAGAAATTGTTTAACTTTTGTATTACTCATAAAAAAAAAAAAATCAGCATTCATGTCAGACCTCTACTTGTTGACCCACTGCTACCAGAGGCTGCCTACAGATGCAGGAACTTGGTAAAAATCAACAAAAGGCTTTCTTTGAGGACCCATTGACTATATGGGTTTCCAGTAAAGAGCAGTGTGTGTTTTATTATTGTTTGTGTAAAGTGTGTCATATCTTTTATGCTGCTAAATTTTTCTTTTTTTTTTTGGATTTTATCCATTTATTTGACAGAGATCGCAGGTAGGCAGAGAGAGAGAGGAGGAAGCAGGCTCCCTGCGGAGCAGAGAGCCAGATGCGGGGCTGGATCCCAGGACCCTGGGATCATGACTTGAGCCAAAGGCAGAGGCTTTAACCCACTGAGCCACCCAGGCGCCCCTATGCTGCTAAAATTTACGATAAATACACACTCACAGATGCATAGGTGGTTTTTTCCAGAGAGCTGGTTGGTGAGCGTTTATCAAACACTAGAGCCCGAAAGGACACTCTTCTGGGGTGATGGGAATGGTCCATGCGGACTGCA